ATTTAGTACGTAGTAATATTTATGAAAAATCCAAAAGTTATGTTACAAAAGCTGCATGCTAGCTATAAAAGAATAATCAAATTGCGCATATTATATACCGAGTAATATTTAAATTGTGAATATCATTCGCACGGGTAGCTCAGTTGATTGAGTGGCCGGTAAGAAAGTTGGAACATTGACCATGGATCAAAATCCGCAGCGGCCGTATGAAGGTTATAGAATATGTGTCTTGGGCTGGACATAGGGTTGTAAATGAATCAAATAATTTATGCTCGGTTCGGGATTCGAATTCGTACAAGACTACTCGGATTCAAGAAATTCAAATACAAATAAGAATACTAAATTTTGTCCGAATTGTTATCGAATACAAATAACAATATTAGTGTATTTGATTCGAATGATAATCAAATATATTCTATTAACAATAGTGATGTAATTAATAATAATCATGATGATGATGATGATGATGATAATGACGACGACGACGACGACGACGACGACAACAACAACAACAACAACAACAATAATAACAATAATAACAATAACAATAATAATAGTAATATTAATAATAGTAGTAATAACAATATACTAACTTTTAAAAGATAATTATATCTTCCAAGTGTATACAAATTCCAAGTTCATTTGTAATAAATCGGAAGTACCACAGGGAGTAAGAGTTGTAAACGAAGCAAATAATTTTAATTCAATTCATGATTTGGATTCAAAAATTATGATTTGAATTTGAAAATATAGAATATAAATACGAATACAAATCTGATTTTTGGTTCAAACATCTTTCAAATACGAATACAAATAATTATGTATTCGAATCGAAGAATAATCACATATATTCATGTATACATATAAAAAAATCAACTACATAGTATGTGTGTGTGCATAAACTACCCACTATGTTTGTGTGTGTATAGTATACACTATATACTAATGATTTTTTATTAGCAACACTGCTAAATATCTAATATAAAATTAGATTTGCTTGGCTTTGATATATACAATTATCGATCAACTTATTTCACACATTATAACTTTATAAGTACAACTTAAAATATGTGTGTATGTTAGTGCTTATTTCAAAAACTTTGAAATAGATTTATGTTTATTAATCATAAAATTGATTCACTTTAGTATATTGTGCACAGTCTAAAAATACATTGGTCCATATCAATTAAATTTTTAAAGAAAAATGTAATGTTACAATTAAATTCTAAATAGACATTTGAAGTCATTGCATGCATTTATAACATAAAAAATATAAGAAAAGTTTTTTAAAGTGATATTTGACTAATATTTATATTATGCTCTAATCGATTCGATATTCAATTCGTATATGATTCATTAACTATTCGTATTTTCAAACAAATATGAATGCAAATCGAAAGTAATATTCATTTCGTATTCGAAAAAATTAAACAAATACTAAATCACATTATTCGACTCGGTTTAGTTCGTTTACAACATTAACTGGACCTTTGGTGCGTATGAGTACAAGGTATATCATCATTAGCATAATAGCATGGGCCATGGGGCATGGGGTACTTGGGATTGGAGATGTAACCTTGAATATTTAAAGTGTGAATATCTTCAAATTTTCTTACTCCATCCCACACAGTCACAAAATTGTGTACTATACATGTACACAAGCAATCATCAAATTGTGTACCATCCCACACAATCATCATATTCTTTGGCAGAAAATATGGGGAAATATTTCCTGAACATACTTTAATGTGTATTTATGTACTGTATGTACATGGACACAATCATCAAATTGTGTACCATCCCACACAAATTACAAATCATCATTTTTTTGGCTTCTGAATATCTTCATTTTATTGGGCAATCTTGTTGAGGAGGGTGTAATAGATTGGGATGTTCGAGTACGATATTTGCTTATTAATTTTTTTATGTTATTAGTCAATTGGAATGTTTGCATATGCTTTATTTTGATGTACACTTTTAGGTAGCTAGGAATACTGTTCATTAGCTTCTTTTGCATTTAGATACGGAGTAAGAGATTAGAACCCCTCAACACTAGGAAATTAAAGTGCGGGCAAGTGTACAATTCTTATAGCGCTGTTTATTTTATGTTAAATGACATTTTAAATCATGTAAAATAAACATATATTTAGAGCCCATTTGGTAGCACAAAAATCGGCTGTTTTGGCTGATTCTGCTAAAATTTATGAAGTTTTGGCTGAAGTGGTTGCATTGACTGATTCTGTTTATTTAAGGAAAAATTATCTTTAAAATATATTTTATTAATAAAATAAAGAAAAAGTTATATGTAAAAATAGCTAAAATGATCATCTACAGTAACTTCAGTCAATACAGCCAGAAAAGTAACTACAACCTTACTTTTTCTGCTTATTACACAATTCAGCGCGCGAAAGCAAAAATTACGTGTTTGGTGAAAAAAAGTTGGTTGATAAGCCTGATAAGCCGAAAATCAGTCTTGCCAAACGGCTCTTTATAGTACAGCTTATTTTATGTATCTTTTACTAATACATGTTTTAATAAGCACTGTTTATTAAAAATAAAAGATTCTTTTTCTCTCTCTAGGATTTCGACCACTAGAGGTGTTTCTTCTGCTATCGATCTCGGACGAGGAGCGATGTGTTTCTTCTTCTCCGTCAATTTGGCCGGTGTTCGGGGAAGTGATCGAAGGAAGTAAAGAGACGGAGTCGGGCAAGATCGAGGATTCGCAGCGGGTTGCTTTCGTCGTGGAGTGGAGGACGGATGTGTTGACGTTTTGGAGGCGGAGATTGAAACGTAGCCAGCTGATTCGAGGATTCATGCACTCTTGACTGTGACGGTCCAGAGGGGATCGACAACGGATTCGATCGAGGAAAGAGAGCGGTTCCATGGAACAAGTTGTGAATCAATATAAGAAAATGCACATCGGAGAGGATGTGGAGGAACTGGATCTGAATGATGGCGAACTAGATGATGTCCAAGCAGAGGAAGTTCGGCCGGCCTATCCGGTGGTCAGAGTTGTGCTGACAGACAGGAAAATCAAATTTCCAGCTTTCAAAGAGCTTATGGCATCACTGTGGAGGCCAGGAAAGGGTGTAGCGATCAAAGAAGTCTGTGATAAGAGATATCTCTTTGCTTTTTATCATCCTGTTGATATGAAACGTGTGCTTAATGGTGGTCCATGGCAGTTTTAGAGGAATTTGTTGATCTTGAAAGAAATTAAACCAAATGATATTCCGTATAAGATCTGTTTGAATGAGGCTAAATTCTGGGTGCAAGTGCGACATAATGTCCTGTATAGCTTAATGAATTTAGGTACAACAAGACGGTTAGGTAATTTTATCGGAAAGTTCATTAGTTATGATGATTAACAATTTGGAGAAAAATGGGAATCCTATCTGCGTGTTAGGGTCTGTACGAATGTGGAAAATCCCTTGAAAAAGGGCACTACTCTTAAGAAAAAGGGTATCGGACATTGGGTAGATTTTAAGTATGAGAGGCTGCCAAATTTTTGCTTTGTCTGCGGAATCATAGGCCACTCTGAAAATTTCTGTCTGTTGGCGTATGAAGAAGATCTAGTACTAGAAAAAAAGGTTTGGAGTACAGCTCAGAGCAGATAGCGGGTGAAGACAAATCCTATAGGAGGAAATGAATGGCTAGTGGACGGGTCCTCAAGCTCGAGTCGGGATCCTCTGAACAGAGAGCAGATTAAATCAGACGGAAGGATGGAAGGAGGAAAGGAATACACGGCGGGTTCAGTCAGCAACTCGACCAAAGACGTGAGCTTGGGAGGTAACGAGGAGATAGCGAGGGAACAAAAACGCAGACGCATCTGGGAGGCGGTGGAAAAAAGAGAACCGGGTGGGAGATAGTATGGCAGTGGATGAGACAAAAAACGGGAAGGAGGCGGGCTTAGAGGCCGGGGTAAGCCCGCCATCGTCAACGTTGCAGAGGTCAGCGCCAGAGAGTTGGAAGATAGTGGTTTTTTGAAGACTGGGTGAGGACTTTTACATTGTTGCTTTTATTTATTTTAATGGTCTGATATTGTCAGTTTACGTTTGTTTTTAGTACTCCGTGTTTCGGTTGTAAGACTGGATTTGATTTTGGATGTGAGTGATGAATTGACTGTGATGACCGTGTTTGGCTCATTTGTGCCCATAAATGGATCAGCGAGTTACCTACTATCTAAATGACCGTCTCTGGTTCGAGGGACGACGGTTTTCATAAGTCTTTTTGCCGGATTACCTACTATCGAAATGACATGTTATCAATTTAAGCCTATTTCTTCCACACACACAAAAATATGCACCGTACGCGTTTATTAGCCCGTGAAGTAAACATGTCGCAGGTATACAAATTAACAATACTTCATCAATTCTACAAGAGTGGGAACATATTTCTTTTGTAAAAGGTAACTTTACGATTTGATCCCTTTTGAAACTTTTACTCTAAATTTTCTCGTTGTTTCTGTTTTTCTCACCATTTCCGGTTCTCTTTTCTATTATTTCCACTTTTTTCTCATGCCTACTATATTTACTTTTCTTCTTCTCTTCTAGAGCGAAGAGTTCTCTTAGTAAATTACTGTGTATTTTCTAGTGCGAGAAGTTCTGTTTCCAATCTTAAGGCAAATGACCGAATTGGATGTGTTTGTGTTAGTTACTCCAAGTTTGTGTTTCTATTATATCAATATTAGCTTTTTTCATTCAAATTAAAACACTTTTGAATGAAATGAAATGAACAACTTGTTCAGGGGTTTAATTGAGCTTTAAATTGTTACGTCATATGCACAGTTGACACCTTATAGGGTGGCATGAGGACGACCGAACCATTGCACACAAAAAATGAAACTTGAATCTTTTTGTGAAGATCAAGAATTTCAATTTTTTAATTCATGAATCAAATGAACATTCGCAATGAATACATAAACCAATTTGACTCTTCAACTTTTAAAAATATCAAATGTAATGGTATTTTTTTAAAGTGTAGATGTGACTAAAATGAGCTGGGTCTCATATATAACTATATAAGTAGGGCTCCTTCCACTGGACTCGGTCGGTATACAATTCCCATCGACCTTACCAACAACCCTATCGGTGTGTAAAATTGTAGGCCGGATGGAGAAGGTGGAGAGGCTGACGGCAGAACACGGCGTGGTGATCTTTAGCAACACCGAATGTTGCCTTTCCTACGCCGTTAACGTCCTCTTCCACAAGCTCGGAGTTAAGCCGCACCTCCACCACCTCGACGCCGACCACCGCGACGGCAAGGACATCGAGGTCAGCCTCGCCGCCGCCATGGGCCGCACCAACGGCGCCACCCCACTGCCGGCGGTTTTCATCGGCGGAAGGCTCGTCGGGTCCACCAGCGAAGTCATGTCTCTCCACCTCAGTGGTTCTCTCCTTCAGCTGCTTAGGCCTTACCGCCGCCAGTAGGTCTCCGGCCGGCCAATCAAACATACGTACTACGTAATGCATTTTATTTTGACTTTATTGTAAACGCATAGGGTGCTACTTGTATAGTTGTATACATAATTTATACACATTTGCTGCGGATAATATTTAGTTCCATACGTACAACTAAGAGGGTCTGATCTACAACAAATGTGTATAAATTACGTGTACAAATGACTTTCCTGTGAACCTATATACTTCGACTTATTTATATACACACATTCGATAGTATTATTGTTATTACCCTCCCTCTCTTTTTTGAAAAAGGAAACTTATTTATTACTCCTTCTGTCCCTAAAAGAAGTTTCATTTCGCTTATCGAGACTCAACTTAAATCACTCTTAAACTCTTACTTTTTATATCAAAATTGGGAAAAGGTGCAAATAGGCCCATGTACTAACCAAAAAAGGTCAAATAAGCCCTTATTTAGGAAGTTCTGTCCGGCCGTCGTCATTTGGGGTGGTTCCCGGTGGATTTTTTGATGAAATTTTTTGAGCATCTTATTCATCAAGTCTAGTTTGCTCATACCAAATTTCAGCTAAAACTTCAATCGGGAAGGCATTCAAATGAATTCTTGAAAATAAGTGCGCAGTTAGAAGCGCAGTTATCTTCAAGAATTCATTTGAATGCCTTCCCGATTGAAGTTTTAGCTGAAATTTGGTATGAGTAAACTAGACTTAATGAATAAGAAGCTCAAAAAATTTCATCAAAAAACTCCACCGGGAACCACTCCAAATGGCGACGGCCGGACAAAGCCTCCTAAATAAGGGCTTATTTGACCTTTTTTGGTTAGTACATGGGCCTATTTGCACCTTTTCCCTATCAAAATTTTATAAAAGTTGAATTATTTTTTGCAGGCTTTGTAGTGGGTTTAAAGTAGTTTCTGAATATGTAAATTTTATTTACTAAAAATAATCCGAATTTTCACAGGGATCATTTAACTTTATCGTCGATCAACCTTCGTAATACGCAATTGGAACGACATTTAGGGACGGAGGGAGTATTAATGATAAAAGTAACAAGGGAATAAGCAATACAATAGTTCAACATTACATTGGAATAAGACATAGAATTAAATGACCCTCAATAGCCAAACAAATTTGCTCATCCCCACAAATATGTAGACTAATTTAACAGCATTATGGAGTACTAAACTTTCTACTCAAATGGTAATGGAAATAAAACAAATTGTCCGATAAGAAGGGAAACATAATACACCAAGTATCCCGATTTCTCCAGCCACCGAAAAAAGAGTCAAGATTTGATCAGCCACATCTAAGGAAGTTCTCCTGATCTCATGCCCTAACACAATTATAGGTTGTGTTGCTCTGAGAGCACTACCTATTTGCTATTTTTGAGTCATCGTTGTCTATCCATGATTGCTTGAATCACAGCCAGAGCATGTAGTTCAAACACCAGTGCAACCAGGGGCGTAGCCAGGACACTGGGCTAGACTGGGCCGGTACAAAGAATATTATTGGGAAAAAATTTACACGAAATTTTTTACACTAAAAATATTGACATTTTTCAGATTTGGGGTGGGCCAGGGCCTAGCCTGGGCACCCCCTAGCTCCGCCCCTGAGTGCAACCTTCCTCTTCCTCTTTCATATACCCAAGTAATTTTCTCCATGATAAAATTAGATAAATATGTCACAAGAAAACTATGCAGAAAATCACAAACAATTCCAACACAAATAAAGTTGCAGAAAGGCTACTCCTCGGCAAAAGACCGTCGAACGAAAAGGCACCAATGAAAAGAGAAGATATGCAGACGAATCATGTGATAACAATAGCCACGGGCGGAGCCAGAAAAATGTGTGGGGGATCGGAATTTAATTATATACAGTACCAAAATGATCGGAATTTAATTATTATACAATACTTGAGTTAAATGTTCCATATGTAGTTGAGATAAATAATAGTTTAATGAGCAGTTTTCGGTTAATGTATTGATATATATGTAATGTATCATAATGTTCACACAACTAATGATTGAATAAAGTGTTTTAATGTTAAATTTAAGAATATAATCAATGTCACACATCAAATTTGCTTATTTCAAGTTAAGATGGTGCTGATTTTTTCAGAAGTCGTAATTTTTTACTCGTAATGAGTTACGAGACCCGTAATATATCAAATCGAAGGTATTTCAGAGATCTACATTTTGAACTTTCAGAGAGATCAGCTGACCACCTTCCACAATAGGGCTCTGGTCTAACTCTTCCCAATTGCGTCGGTTGCCTTGAGGCTTGAACACAACATTGCCTTATTAGGTCGATAGTTCTGCACGGTTGCCACTGCTATGGGTAGTTATTATTCGCAGAAAAAATTATCTGATTTACTATTAAGTTCTTGAAATTGAAATTTAACTTATATCCTCCCTCGTTGTCATAATTAACTCTGAAGCTGATAAGTTTTGATCAATCATTTAACTAATATATGTTTGCGAATTTTTTTTTTAATAATTTTATGGTAATATTTTTAATAAAAAGCATCTCCACATCATCATCATATTATAAATATTTTCCTAAATATTATAATTTTATTTTTCAGCGGTGAGCGTAGCTCAACTGGTAGATAGAGGGTTAAGTCTCGGGTTCAAATCTCAACAAATGCGATGAGAGGTTAGTATGCTAAAAATGCATAGGGCACTGCAACTACCAGGGCCAGAGCCTCACTCTCTATCTGTCAGCTTGTGATTAAACTCCAATTTACATCCTCTCATCCAACTGTCTGATCGATGTTAGGGGCCCTTATGGATGTGGTGCCATCCTTTTTTTCATATTATACATATTTTCCTACATAAATAAGTATATACGTAGTATTATCAATCAAAATTTAGAGCTCGTTTGGTGACCCCTTTTTTCGGCTTATCAGCCAGCTTTTTCACCAAACACGTAATCATTGATTTCACGCGCTGAATTGTGTAATAAGCAGAAAAAGTAAGGTTGGGGTTACTTTTCTGGCTGTATTGACTGAAGTTACTGTAAAGGATCATTTTAGCTATTTTTGATATAATTTTTTTATTTTATTTATTAATAATAAATATTTTAAATATAATTTTTTCATGAATCAGCAGAATTAGCCAATACAGCCAATTTTAATGTTACCAAACCGGCTCTTAATGTGGTTGATTGATTGAAAATGTCATAAATGGTCACCCCAACAGTAAAATTCTACCGTGTGCTGTTAGTGCATTTCCATAAGTAACTACTATGTAAATGAATGTGATCATCGTCAGCTTAACACTTCCATGCCCAGTTCTCGATTTTCTTTTCATTAAAAATAATCTTATCATTGCTTTGCAAAAACTAAATGATTATTTGTCCTTAAATTGGAGAATGAAATGAAACTATGTAATCAAATAAATGACAACAAAAAATCATTTCGAGTTTTTGTAAAAATTTGTTGTATTTTGTATGTAATAAACCACTCTTTTTTATTTACTTGTGAACTACTTCCGTCCCAATTTAATGGTCTCAATTCTGATTAACTTGATCAACACATATCACTCTTAATCTCTTATTTTATATATCAAACTTTTATGAAATTTGATATTTTCTTTTGCGACTTTGTAAAATTTTTAACGTAATTTCTAAATATGTAAATTTTATTTACTACAAATAATTTGAGTGTGGGCAGAGATCCATTTACCTTATCGTCGATCAAACATCGTAAACCACAACACAGGCTAGGGTTCCACATCACCAACATTCCGATTTGTCCTTTTATGTTTGGACATAGACTTTATTCTCCATTCTTGGACAGTAGCTGCTCGGGCATTTTTTTCTTTTATTTGGGCCGAACTATCGCAATTAGAAATAGCAAAATAGCAACCGCAACAGGACAATCAAATTGGGACGGAGGGGGGAAAATTTTACAAATAGTACAAAAAGACGGCAGATTTCCAAAAGTAAGACAACAGCAACTTGTACGACCAAACTTAATTGGAGTGACAATTATACCCTCAATTAAAAATTAATAGACAATCGCTCAATCCGCTAAAACATCAAACTCAAAGCCAGCGAGAGCGTTCGTGCCAGCAAGCCTGCAAGCACATCGGCCTCAAACATCTTCCCCTTGTCAAAGTCGTTGCCTTTCAGGATCTTCACCACAGTGCAAGGTGGCAACTGGTGGCTCCCTTGCGCATCAAACAACTTCGACACCCCTGCATCGCCTGCCCTTCGTTCCAAACAACTTCATCGATTCAGATCGAATTACCACCGCCGCCGATGTCGAAATCACCGTCGCTGACGCACTAGATACCCACTCCGGTTGACTTCATCGGACGCCACCGCCAAAAGTATCTTCTTCTTCCTCATCATCGTCATCATCATCATCATCATCATCTTCTTCTTCTTATTCTTATTCTTCTTTTCTGATTTTGGACATTGATTTTTCTAATTTCGAACTTCTATTTCATATTTTCACAAGGCCACCATGTGTTCTGCAAAACTTTTGAAGAAACCAGATCCAAAATCAAACTTGCAAACACTTGACAATACATAGACATTAAGCAGTCCGTAAAGAGACAATAAGTTCTAATAATACTCAATAGTAGACAATACATAGACAGTAAGTAGTCATTAAACAGACAATAAGTTCTGATAATAGCTCAATAGCAGAGCAGGTAGGCGATAGAAGTCCATAAGGCGTTGGCGGTGGGAAGCTTGAGCTACGCTTCCTAAGGACTATGGCGGTTAGTTCGCAGAGGTGAAGAAAAATCAATGTTGCTTTTAGAAAATGAATGAATCCAAGTTAATTATTAAAAAATTAACAAACATCAATTTTTCAAGCCTTGAATTTTCGGATCTGTTTTTCAGATCTTAAAAACTGACAAAAGTCTGTTAATGAAGAGTGCAATTTTCGGATCCATGTTATCAAATCTTAGATAGAAAACAAAAATATCAAAAGAAGAAGAAAGAGAGAACAAAGGAGGAGACCGGAGGAACAAAAGAGGAAGAAGAAGATGAAGAAGAAAAAAGAAGAAGAACAAAAAACCTGTTTCCACTTGACTATCAGAAATTGGCAAAGAGAGGCGTCGATGAAGGAGGCGAAACCGGTGAAGAAAGGTGGTGTCGGCGGAGTAGAAACCGGGCGGCGTAGATGGCGGAGGCTTTCTGAAGTTTGATCGCAGAGGTGAAGGCGTGAAGAATGCAAAGTAGCGTGAAGTCATAGGGGTATTTTAGGCGAGTAGAATGTAAGTTTTCTAAAGTAGGAGTGATTTAGGCTTACGGATGTAATTAATCTAATTTGGTCTTATTTTGATCAAAAGTCTATGAAAGAGTCCTGTTATGGACAATTTTCTCCTAGTATCACATTTAGGGGGTGTTTGGATCTGATTCTCAAAACTGAGATTGCTCCTTCAGGGAGCAGAAGTAGAAGCTGAAGTGTTTGGGTGAAATTCCAGAAGCACTTCTGGTGCTCTAATTTACTCCCAGAATCAGTTTTTTTAGAAGCTGGGGAATACCAGCTTCTGAAAACTGATTCTGATTCTGATTCTGCATTTAAAAAAGAAGCAGAAGCAGAATCAATTCCAAAGACCCCCTTAACCTTTACCCAACATTTAAGATTAATTCATCATTAAACTATGTCAGCATGATAACTCAATGTACCTCAGTACATTTCTTTAGCAGATTAATTGGGCTATTTTTTTAAAATAGCCTTGAATTTGTTCAAATAATTTATAGTACTCCGGCAGGGCCGTCTTTTAGGAGGTGCAATAGGTGCTTCGCACCGGGGCCTTCTCTTGTAGAGGGCCTCCAAAAATTTAGAATGTACCTTCGTCCCACTATGTTTGGGACAAGAGAGTGTGGCACAACATATGAGAAAAAATGAAATTGTGGGGTTAATATTGAATTGATAAACTATGAATAAAGTAAGAATGAATCGTAATCATCCAAATATTACCAAATATGGTATGTGACAAACTTAATGAGACCGACGAAAAAGGTAAAACGAGACAAACTTAGGAGGGCGGAGGGAGTAGTATTAGTTATAGATTAATTTTTCTAGATTTTTTATATTATTAAGGATTCCAATATACATACTCCTTCCGTCCCTTAAAACTTTGTCATCTTTCCTTTTTGGAACGTCCCAAAAAACTTTGTCACTTTCCCTTTTAATTAATATTTTGAAGTTCCTGTTATTTCTATCTCCTCTGCACAAACCTCTACCACACAGTTTTTACTTGGCAAAGTTTTAAGGGACAAAGGTAGTATAACTTTTAGATTCTCTAATTTGTGGACTTTAAACATCATAAAACTTATATTGCGTTGGAGTGTCTAGTCTATTTGTATTTCATTGTAAAAATTTGTGTTATTTTCTCGTCTTAGGTCCTTAGGGGGCCTCAATTTGCTAGTTCAAACCGGGGCCTCCAAATTCATTAGACGGCCCTGTACTCCGGGTATAATGTTTTTCAATATTCACAGTTATCATTCCAAACAAAGTAAGTAGACAGAAAATGCATGTTCAATACTTAATTTGAATAAATTGTAAAATGATTATTTAACACAATTCAGATTTCAGACTACCTATTCAGCATATAATGTAAACAGTTTGTTATTCTAAAGTCACTTTATCCAAAATACATAAATACTTCATGTCTTAAACCAGACACGACTTAATGTGGAAAAAAACCTTAGTATCACTCACCTGTCTCACCATCCAGCATCACCAACAAGCATTACTCTTAATTTAGATGTATAAAAATTATTACAGAAGTGAGTAAAAGAAAAACGATGGAGTAACACTAAAAAATTAAAAGCCTTGAACCACAAAAATATTCAGAAGTATAATGTACAGTTAACATCAAGCTCAGGTGATCAGACATTCCTCAAAAAAAGAGGAGGATGGGAAATGAAATATCACCACCATGGAAACATCAATCACTTAAAGATCCATCATCATCATCTTCACGCTCTTTTATGGCCCTCTCAAGAAACTTCTTCCTGATTCCATCCAGAACAGTTTCTCTTGATTGTTCCCCGCCATGACCATCATTCAGCACAGGATCTGACTGGCATAGAACTAAGGCCACACCTAAACATGTAACAGCACATTACTATATTACCACAGAAGAAGCGATATCAGGACATCATATTCCACGTTCTGCAAAATTATTCTAGCGATTGAACCTTATCATTTCCCTTGTCAACAAAACTACACTGAAGAACCGTTGATCATAAGATATTTTAATTGAAGGTATTTCAATAAGATTGCTGATCTAAAAAGAAGAATCGTAAAAATGATAGTAATAATATATGACATGATACTGATGTAAAACATAAATAGGATTACTTACTATGTGATGGCACAATTATTAAAAGATAACTTAGCATCCCAAAATCATAGAAAGAAAACATACTTTCAGGAGTGCATCTCCGACCAAAGCTATGTGTTCCCACATGAGTTGCCTTAACAGCAGTATTATTGTAAACCAGAATAGTTGGCAGATTACGGTCTGGATAGTTTGGAATGCACTCTGTAGATATAATCTTCACAAACTTTGTTGCAGGGTATCTTTTAGCCAAATCTTCCAGACATTGCAAAAGCATCCTGCACTCTGGATATCTGTAATAAAAAGCTAACCAGGTTGAATGAAATTCTGAGTGTTGTTACTAGTTTCCTTATAACTCAAAGGGTAGAGCTGAATGACTATAATATAGCCCAATAGTTTCTTTTCTCTTTCATTTTTTGTAGCAAATGGCAGTACTTTAACTTTGAAATGCATTGGCTGTCAATTTTTGTACATTAATAAACCTTATTTGCCATTTAATGCAGAGTATTACGAAAATGCATTTTCTAGCCACAAATTCATGTCTGAGTTCTAGCCATAAGGATATAATGTAAATACAATCAAGAGTCCAAAACACAAGTATAACCTATAAACTGCTCACCCATCTTTATAGAGCATCACCACAACCCAAATGTCTTGCGGAGCTTGAGAGACTTCACGAACAAAGTCAGATCCTGAAATTGGAATAACTGATCCAAACTTTGCTACCTTAGCTGCTTCTCTTATCTCAGTTAACCTCTTCTTCCTATCACAAAGAAATTGCAAGAAAACCTATTAGTACCATTATCTCAATTCAATTTATGGCATCAAGTTCAGTTATCTTTTGAAAGTGAATAAAGGAGATGCATTTGTTTAAATATACATAAAGTTGAAATGAATGTAAAGAAAGATCTGTATGAAAGGAAAAGAATGAAGGAAACGACCCGTCCATTTGCTTATTCTACCATAACCCAATCAGAGAAAAAACAAATCTTTCATATAAAAAATAAGCATTCCTCTTCTTCCAGGCAGCTTAAATAAGATTAAGTTAGCTGACAGGCGATCTCTCAAAATCATGAGAACCCTACCCTCTCAGGGGGATTGAAAACATCAAATCCAATTTTTATAGGAGTAATCAGGTGAAATATTCATAATGCTTACTTAAACATTACACTAAAATCAAATTTCATATGAATTTCATCTGAATCAGTTTTGCATAAATCAAATTTCTAAAGCCAGTTCTCAGCAAGGGAAATTCAGCGCATAGATTCAACACTCTACCTATATTCTTCGAGAAATCGATCTTCGTCGAGATCATCTTCTTCGAGATCTTCAAGCTCTTCCTCTGTTTTCTTGTCGATCCAGGCCTTGTCTTTGGGCTTAGAGTCATCATCCTCGGCAGGCGTGAAACCTGGTGGCTTGAACGGCGGCGGTTTTGGCGGGAGATTTCCAAGTTTCCTCTGTATATCGTCCCATTGCGTTGAGGATCCCTCCAAATCCTTGTATACAAAGTGGTAATCCGCCATTCCACGGTTTTCACAGTTCTCAGCTCAGCGAGCTTAACCGTATACTCAGTAGGATATTTTAGCACAGCTTCTCCGGTCCAGTGGAAATGAATGATGGATCTCAGAGCCCAAAATTGTTTTTTCACGGGAATGAAACTTACGTAGTACTCCGTATCTAGTAAGGGAAAAACTGTTTGTTGTTTTTTAAAAAGTGTTTTTTTTAACGAAACAGAGAGAAGTGATTAAATAAAAGTTTATAGTGTTTGAGAAAAAAAGTATTTTGAAAAGTAAAAGTGGATGATGTTTGGTAAAATAAGTATTTTTTGTGTAATAGAAAAAGTAAAAGCACTTTTGACGCGGAAGCCGAGAAAAATAAAAGTTGTAGTATTTGGGAACATAAGTGTTTTTTAAAGCCAAAAGTTGAAAAATGCTTTTTTAAAAGTTGCATAATCAATCGAGTCCCCGAATTTTGTAAAAACGTTCAATTGAGTACAGATGGTGATCCATGTGTGTGCCACATCATCAACAAATGATTGACTTGACTTCCACATATGTGCCCCGTCAGCAAAATTATTGATGATTGGGCTGCCACATGTGCATCACGTCAGCGGGTGACCTGCTAACATGGCAAGTAACCTGCAAATGTACTTAATTGAACGTTTTTACAAGGTTCGAGTATTTGATTGATCTTTTTAAAAGTACGAGAACCTAATATATTAGACTAAATGGTCAAATATGCATCGAACTAACTTAAAAAGTGCAATTCGCCCCTTATATAAGAGATTTTGTTCGCCCGTTGCCAATTGGGGCGGTTCCCGGAATTTTTTAATGAAATTTTTTTAGCATCTTCTTCATTGAGTCTAGTTTACTCATAACAAATTTTAGATAAAAATTCAACCGGGAAGACAGTCAAATGATTTTCAGAAATGTATTGCGCTATTTAACTGCGCTATTGAAATGTACGAAGACAGGTTTTTCGATGTTTTGAGAGTTCGAAGGTGAACATCGAAAAGTGTGTCTCGAATTGCAGGTGCGGAATCGTTTCTCGAAGGCGAGGCTCAAAAAAGCTTTCTCGAAGTTTATGTGTGAATCGCTTCAGGTTTCTCGCAGATCAACATCGAAAAAGATTTCTCGAGGTTCAATATCGAAAAGAATTTCTCGAACCGTCGGGTTCTCGAAGGAACATCAAAAAGAGCTTCTCGAAAGGACATCGAAAACCACATGTTCATTGAGAAAGGAAAGAAAGTATCGAGAAAGCAGATTGAGTTCGAAAAAAAAAGAGAATGAGGGGCAAAATTGTCTTTTGAGACCCGCTGAATTTTACGGTTGTCGTGCCCGCAGGTCGCCCGCGCAGGGGGTGCAAATTTTTTATTTTGAACTGAAAGCCGGAATTCGTGTGTGCGCGAGAGCTCCCCATTTCTTCTTCACCTTTTACTACTAAGAGAGGAGTGACTCATATTTAAAGGCTCAAAAGTTCCCAAAGAGTTTAGGTGTAGGAAAGTTAAACAAGTTCACTTTCCTCCTTTACTTGAAAAGCATACTTTTCCCATCTTTTTCAAGAGTTAGCTTTTGAGCCACTTCAAACTTCAAAGTTCAAAACTCCAACACCAAAGATCAACACTACAACCAAAGTTTCCAAGAGTCAGCCTTGAGATTAAAAAAAAATCAAAAATTCAAAAAAAAATCAAGGTTAAGACTTTATGTTCTCAAACTCCAAGCTACACTTCAAGGTCCGGAATTTGCAGAAACTTCAATCAACCTCACATCTACGGTCAACATTCAACAATCAACAATGGATACCTCCAACTCATCATTATGTAAGAACCAATGCACTGGAATTTCTGATAAGTCTGAGATAAGCAAATGTGACGGTCAACAAATAATCAAGGAATTGGAAGAGAGATTAGCAAACAATCACAGAGTCTTACTGGAGCAGCTGGATAAGACTGCCTCACTCACCGTACAACTGGAAAATTCTAAAGAAAAGGTCAAGTAGCTAACCTTGGAACGCATCATAGCGAAAACAATTTTGATTTTATTCAAACGGAACGATGCAAATTATATTCTAAGATCAAAATCAAAAATTTGGAGGACTTACTTGTTAAGAGAGGTCAAACAGATCAAACAATTTTCTTAAATCAGCCTAAAGACACCACTTTCTACAATCCCAAGGAAGGCTTAGGTTTCCAAAACTCATGCAACTTGAAGAAAGTCAACTGTCGGCAACTGTATGACATTGGATATATGGGCTTGGGTTTGACGAAACTTATGTCCTTCGTATGAGCGTCAGAAACTGATGCCGAAGAAAAAGAAAAGAGAGAAAATAATCATAAAGCTGAAATCTCGTTTGACTACACTAAACTGAATGATAGCTATAAGACTAGGGAAATTCCTTTTTCTGATGACTATGTATCACTTTTTTCTCCAGCAATTGAGTGTGAGTCTGTGTCTGCAGGGGAAGAAAAACATGTTTCTGAAAAATCCGAAACTGACAATGTTTACATTCCAAAGGTCAGCCGTAAAATTGCGGACTTGCACAGATCTTTGGAAACTGAAAGAGAGGTTTTCGAAACTGAAAAAGAACAACTTTTAAATGAGATTTCTCTTCTCAAAATTTCCTCCAGATCAGACGCAACCACTACCTCCTCTCATATTTCAAAGATTACATTTAAAGACAGTTCAAGTTCAAGCTCTCAGTCGTTTAGCTCTTCCACACACCATTCTTCTCAGTCTTCTTCTAATGACTCTAGATCTGTGTTTTCTCATTCAAGTGTTGAGGTTAGCAAGCCTGAGAAACTTAAGCAAAAGGCTAAGGTTGTCAAACCTCATTGTGAAGTGAATGATGGCAAGTCTAAACGGAAGAATTTTAAAGCTTCAACCTATACCGTTTGTGACGGTGTTTGCCTAACTTATCCCCTCAAAGTTTATTCAACCAAACACTTGAAACGGTTATCAAGGGAGAAAATATTTACTTCTCAAAAATCTATTCCATCATTCACTCGCGCAGAAAATTCGTATGCATCTGCAATAACTCAAAAATGGGTTCCTGAATCAGATTCCTAGTCATGTAGCTCTATCAAAGCTTCAAAGGAGACTGGTTTAGGAACTAAAATTAAACAAAAATTTCAAAATTTGTTTTGTGCTAAAAGAGATGGACCCACCCTGAAATGGGTACCAAGGGTTTCTTAACCTTTTGCAGGTCCGTCATGTGTGGTAACTGATCTGATTGCTCCACACACATGGCGGGTATGAAGATGAGTTGTGAGCAATCAACCATGGTGCACATTATGAAAGGGAGTATAGGCGTATATACTAACCCAACGAGCTGAACTGATACCCCATCAAGGAGAACAACTCAAAGTCAGACCCGAAGGTCTTGTCCTACCTGAAGTGATCGTGACCACTCTGAAGGGCCACACACTATGGAAAGTCATGAGCGAATCTGCTAAAGTCCCTCACGTGTATCTCCAATAATTTTGGGTAACACTTGACAAGGACACTAATGAGGATGACAATGAGATAGATGACGTGCTGACCTCCAGTATCAAGGACACTAAGGCTACAATTACCAAAGAGCTGATGCACCAAGTGCTGCAAATCCCAGAGCATGATGAATATGATGAGCTGGCCACTGAGGAAGACCTCATGGAAGACATGATTACACTGGGCCATGCATAACTGATCAGGCTCATCTCCCAGGTCAAGCCCGGAAGACTACCACGGCCATGGAGGACTCTGATGGCTACACTAAACAAAGGTTGCACTACCAATCACACCGGCTTCGACAAGTGCAACATCTACCTTTTGACTGTCTTCCACGGCGTGGCATTCATGAATTATTACGACCACGTCTCGCTGATCTGGGATAACATTATTGAGATGATCAGAAAGAGGAAAAGGACCAATCAAATCAAACATCTACCATATATGAGATGGTTTCCACTGTTGGTGCGACGCTTCTCCAGAACAACTCCATCCATCCACCTTAGACTATCAACAGAGAACGTCAGCATCCCATACCTCAAGTACCTTCAGAAGGTGACTGAGATCCTACACTGGTACCACTCACCATACCAGTGCCTCTATTACAACTAGCTGATCAGAATGATCCATCTATCCGACGTTACTGCCAGAAGCACGACATCATACTCCCCACGGCTCAGATAAACCCCCCTGAGCCCCCCCAAGGTAGTCAGTCGAGAGAAGGTGAGAGTCCTGAGAGTCCACAGAGACCAGTGGCAAGCCGACCCCATGATGATCAGACTTAGTCTGCTGAGGGCCACCCCCAAGTTGCTGAGGAGACTACCAATGACTCGTCTAGCGCAACCAGACCACAAAACGCTGATTATCTTTCCTATAAATATACCTATATACCCTCATTATCTTTCTTACATTTTCATTCTCTTTCCTACCTTTTCATTTAAACACAACCCACTACACCTTTTACACTATCCCTATTATTTTCTTTTTAAAACTTGTGCCAAAGCCTATAGAGACATTTAATAGAGGAGGGAGTATATAAAATCAAATTACTACCGAGTAAGAAGCTGTTCTCTTCTTCTTATTCTTATTACTTATTGCTTATTCTTATTTTATTCAGATCAGATCCGAAAAATTCATATCAGATTAGAAAGATTCAGATTAGATTAGCAAGATTCAGATCAGATTAGAAAGATTCTGATCAGATCAGATTCAGAAAAGTTCAAACATTATTTATAAAGGCATTAGTAACTTCACCATTTTATACTTCATTCATCGAATTGCCACCCCAATTCGCCAAGTCTGCCCGCCTCATGTCCCTGAACTTATAATCCTAGACTTCCTAGTTAGTCGAAAATAGACGGAAAAAGCTTCCCGACCTCGGCCGTCTATATGGAAGAAACCGTTGGTAACGGAACTCATGGTGGTCAGCCCGTTTCCAAAGAAGACTCCGGAAAGATGCTATACGGGTGCTTCTCTCGGTTTTTTCTGTCGTGATTTTTATTGGGTATTTTTTGCTGGAAAAACAATGCGAGACTTTACATGATTTTTCTATATTCTTGTAGATGTGATCACTATAGGAGACGGTGCAAACTCCGCGCCCCTTGCTGCAACGAGGTTTTTACCTGCCGCCATTGTCACAACGAAGCTAAGGTTCCCCTTCCTACTAACTTCTGGCGTTCTGCGAAAATTGATTTCATATTTTTTGATTCATTTAGAGATTTCATCTGAAAATTCTAGAGCCCTTTGTCATCTTTTTGCCTTATCAAGTAACTCTTTACTAAACACTAAATTAATCTGTACAAGCTCTGGATTACTTTTGATTTTTAGCCACTGATCTTAGTCTCACAAATTTCACTAGATTAAGCTGATTCAGCAAATTAAGCATTACCAGACAGGCTCTATGTTTTATCTAAGTTTCTTCTGTCTATTTCGATCAGAGCGGGTTGACCAATCCCAAGGAAAACCACGAACTAGTTCGCCATGATGTCAAGCAGGTAGGCCCGGAGTAAAGTAATTACCTTCGTGAGCTTATTTATTTTGTATAGTGGCAATGCTACGGATTGAATCCATCTTCATACCTATGTTACAGGTGGTTTGTGCTGTGTGTGATACTGAGCAACAGGTTAAAAACTTCAATTATTGTCGTTTTCAATTTTCTCATACTGATTGAATACTTATATTTGTTTAATCTCATTGATTCTCTCAAATAGGTTGCTGGAGCCTGCATGAAGTGTGGGGTCAAATTTGGACAGTATTTCTGCAGAATTTGTATATTTTATGATGATGATGTAAAGTTATTTGTTCTATCTCTCTTTCTCTTTACCAGACCATGTATCTGATGCTGCATCTGTGTGTGGAAAGTGCTACTTTAGCCACCTTCATTGGGATCTTAACATGACCACCTTTATGGGATTATAAATTTACCTTGTAGTAGTTAGTCAAGGTCAAGTGAGGAGTAATTTTGTCAGTTCATACAGACGGTTATGCTAAGGTGTCCATGTTAGTGGTTTGAGTAGCATTTTCCTTTGTGTGTTTGCATTGAGTTTCTACTTTCTACTTAGTTGGTAGGTTGGTGCCAGAGAGCCTTGGCCCTTTGCGTTAAACTGAAAAGTGAAAACTGAATTGTTTGATCATTAATGATACCTAATTTGTCCTACTCATCAACTTTGTCAGTCCATATTCCTAAAAATGGAGGATGGCAGGGACCTATATCATTTAGTTACCATTTTTGCACCAGTTAAGTGATTGGGATGACTTCTTTTAAGTGAATAAGTTTGAGATGACTTTTTTAAAGTGAATAAGTTCTCTATATAGGAAGAGTGCTTTCACTTCAAAAAGAAGCTTTTGGAAATAAAGTGAAAGAAACTTGTGTTCCTTGAAAAAAATTGTGCTTAGCCATGAAAAACAGGGCTTGGCCAGATTGGGCCTTTTTATAGAAGTGCTATTAGCACTTACTTGAAAAACTCTTCATGTCTAGACATCTAGTTTGTTGGTACTTTTGCCCGTAAATCTTATTGATATCTCTAAAACTATATCTTTTCTTTTGCATGTCAGACAACGAGGAATCAGTTTCATTGTAATGAATGTGGGATCTGTAGGTGAGTGTGTTACATTATCTTCCTTGGCCAATCAGGTGCCCTTGTATAAGGAAAGGAGAATTTCCAATTGCAACTTAAGGAACATTTAATCACATTTCTTTTGATTACTATTGTGATACCAATGTTGATTATGCAGGGTGGGAGGCTCTGAAAATTTTTTTCACTGCCAAAAGTGTGGTATGCTACTATGCTATATATATTATGTAATTCTTTTACATTCTGGGTTTAGTAACAATGAATATCATACCAAATATTAATGATGGCATACTGTATATGCATTCATTGAGTTATTTGGCAGAGTTCTCAAAGGATGACCTACATTATTATGTGTACTAATCCCAATAATTAAGATTTGGACACATGAATCTCATGCTTTTCCAATTGTGAATCTACGATGGTATATAGATTTGAAATATGTCAATAAGTTGAAATAAGATTCTTCCCAACACTTGATGATACCTTTTCAGTTAGCAGTGATGCAATGATACGTCAATAAGCTTAGAAATGATATCACTAGTTCATCTACAAATATATCCTTTTACATTTTTCTTGTCATGCCCTGATGGCCGTCAAAGTCCCAATATTTTAATTACTTTTTCTATAACCTCCATCTGTGCCATAGAGCTATACACTAGAACTTGCCTTACAATTTATGACTTACGACAAAGATGCCCAAAACAATGTGCAGATCTTCTCTTCGTGAAAAATTATACTCCCTCTGTGACAGAGGTTGTCAAAAGCGCTCGCTTCTGCGCTTAAGCGCACAAGGCGCAGCGAGCTACACCCCTAGCGCCTGAGAAAGGTAGAAGCGCACAACCCTGGGCAAGGCGCAGCCTAAGCGCTAGAAGCGCATGAAGCGCGGAAGCGCTATAGGCGCGCGGCTGCGTCGCCTGAGACGGAAAAGGCTGACAGCCCTTTTTTGGTTTAAAACTTTGAAAAACAATTAGCCCATATCCTTAATAGTCCTCGGCCCATGAAAACAATAGGGTAAAGAAAGTTAAACCTACGTAAAACTAAGACTGTAAGTACGTAAAAACGTAAACTTGCGCAACACACTACAAAGCTTAATCGCTAGCCATCCTCTTCACTCTCGCTTTCCTCACTTGACACTCAAACTGCACATAAGTATCATAGTACTCTGCTTTGTGATTTTTTAGTATATTAGTATGCATATAATACTCATAGTATTCTGCTCTTTTATTCTTTAGTATATTACTATGTACTCCCTCCGTCCCGAAAAGGTTGGCCAAAGTTGGCTTTCACGTGGATTAATAATGTAAAAACTGTGTGGTTGAAATTTGTGTAGAGGAGAGAGAATTAATTTTGGCCACATATTCCTTACTTTAAATAGAAATGACAAACCTTTTTGGGACATCCAAAAAAGGAAATTTGACCAACCTTTTCGGGACGGAGGGAGGGAGTATATAATACTCACTCTCATAGTACTCTCTTTGTAATATACATATATAGTACTCTACATTGTATATAATACTAATATACATACTAAAGATATATGTTCTTATATGTTCTTAACTTGAAATATATTACTTTAATATATGTAGTTATGTACTAAAGATATATGTTCTTAACTTTAAATATATTAAAGTTATATGTACCTAATGTACTAAAGATATATGTTCTTAACTTTAAATATATTAAAGTCATATGTACTAAAGATGTATGTTCTCAACTTTATACATCAAACTGATTCCATATAGCAACTTTATGTATCAATTAACCAACTGATTCCATTATATATGTAGTAAAGATATACTACCGGGTATATCTTAACTTTATATGTACTAAAGATATATGTTTTTTTAATATATGTTTATTTATGGTTTCCCGTGTATTAACTAATTCCAGCTTTGATCTTTTAGTTTTAGTTTTAGTATTAAAGCCATGAATTCTAAATTTGGACTTCTATTTTTGTGAATCATGACTTTATTTTGGTGAATCCTAGCATTTTTTATGCATTTGGTTCAATATGATGTTACATACATCATATTTGGTAATTATAGAATAGTATATGTGACTTTATATAAGTAATGCGCTTCACCCGAGTCAGGCGAGCGCTTTTTTGCGCTTTGCGCCTCAGGCGCTAGAAGACTCCTAGCGCTTCAGGTGCGCCTTACGACTTTGACAACCTTCGGCGGCGGCTCTGTCCCAATATAAAAGGCACACTTTCCTTTTCGGTCCGTCCCAATATAAAAGGCACATTTCCCTTTTTGGCAAACAAAACAGTGTCAAACAATGCCAAACAGTGTCCAAACAGTGCCAAACAGTGTCTAAACAGTGCCAAACAGTGTTCAAACAGTGTTCAAACAGTGTTCACCCTTAAAAAGTCCCCAAACGCAAATGTGCCTTTTATATTGGGACGGAGGGAGTATGATTTATATCTTTTTGAATGTTGTCACACATCTTTCATAAGAAACCCAACTAAAGAACAATGAAATAAAAATGAAATTCAATGAGAAGAAAAAATAGGGAGTAATGATCATCATTTATAAAGTGGCGAAACTTTGGAGGGATTTTTTTTCAATTGTCTGGCATTTTAATCCATATAAAATCAATAATCCCTTTCATACTTGTGGCACATTACAACACTCTTCACCATTTAACCAACTTGCATTAGTCAAACATTCTTGTGTAGAATGTAGAAAAATCTTCATCAATATCTATAGTATATTCTAATTACTTTAAACAATCTTTTAATGATTGATAAATTTATCCTGCCCAGTTTAATATCAAATTCTCAGTTAGTGTTGATTAAAATAGTTCTTTAGTAAATTGAAATAAATTGTCAATGCTTTCATTTTTAGTCAGATATGCAGTGACACTAAAAAATTGTCTAGTCATTCAATTATCAAGGTTTACACTTTTAGTCAGGTTTCTAGCTTTGCGGAAAAGACATCCTAGTTGTTTAAATACGTTTAGATATTTATACTGTGTTATTTTCTAAACCTCGAATGCTACATGTATCCAGAAAACATCTCAATCTTTTAAAAAGAAATATGTGTTAAGTGTTCGTTAAAATTAGTAGATTGTGTTTTCATTTCATAAGTTTCATTTTCCAACTAATCACTAAGCTTGGGGATTTGGTGGTAATTTATTTAAATTCCCTCAACCATTAATCTATCCATATGTTTTGCCCTAAATCTTTGATTCACAAATTTCTAACCACCCACAAGCCTTCTAACTTTTATTCAAGAAAACAGGCTCTTGCTATGCGGTCAATCTGCGAGATAATCATGTGTGTGTCGAGAACTCTATGAAGAATCACTGCCCAATTTGCTATGAGGTGCATAGAACTATATCTTTTATTACAAGGTGGATCTTCCCATCTTTTTATTCCCTAAAACAAAAGCTGTGCTGTGTTGCCAGTTTCTGTTTGACTCCGTGAAAAGCACAAGAATTATGACATGTGGACATACAATGCATATGGATTGCTACAGTGAGATGGTAGCTAAGAACCAGTAAATTCACATGCCTCAGAATATAATTCAACTCTATATTAGTGTTTAATACGTAGTATTCAGTGACAGTTTGATGCCTTAATATCTTAAACAGGTATCGGTGTCCAATCTGCAGCAAGTCAGTGCTCAACATGTCCCGTACATGGGAAACATTAGATCAGGAGGTACAATGTTATCCCTCATTCCCCTTTTCATACAGTCCTTGTGCTTGTTTTATGTCCTTTGAAATTATTACTTTGTTAAATTGGGCTTATCTTATCCCAAAAGAATCTCCAAGAAGGTGGGTATTAACTCACACTGGTATACTGAACTGGAGCACAGCAGGCAACCAACCAATGTACAAGCATCTGTCTCAGTCCAAGTAGGTTTAGACAACTGAAGGGTGGACAATTGGATCCAGACCAGCCCCTGAATAATGGAGTGGCGGACACTCTAAAAACCACCATTGGGCTTGATTATAATACCATGTTTTAGGTTTATCTCGCCCCAAAATGATCATCAAAAGTTGATGATTATCTCACATATACTCCCTTCGTCCCGAATTGAAGTGCAATCTTTGACCCGTACACAGATTAAGAAAACACATAAATTTACAATCACTTTACCATTTTGCCCTTCTCCTAATAAACTAGAGTACAAAACTGAAAAGTGGAAAAGTAAAAATCAGAAGAGACTACTTCGTATATATCAGTATTTCATGGTTCTTAGATAGCCATGTAGGTAGTATTTCACAGATGACAAAGGGACGGCGGAGAATGAGATGAAACGATTGATGCCGGAGCACTGATTGGAGTGAGGATTATTTCCTCTGCCGGATAGAAGCATATGCTAAGAATCTTGTGGGCCACCGACATCCTGTTGCTGTCACCATTGCTAAGCTCATGGTTAATATCAAGAGGGTGTCTGCAGCTAGTTTCTTCCGGCGATGCTGTTCGTGTGAAGCATTTGTGAGGCAAATAACGTGACCCAGAAACCCAATTTTTCCCTGATTTCTGAAGCTATGATTTTGGTGATGAGGGGGGTAGGATTTTTGGCTACACTCTTGTTCGCTGAGCAGATTGAAAGAGAAAAGAGGGTGTGGAGAAGTTGATAAGATACGGTTGGGTGAGTGGGATAAAAAATGACTATGATAAGAGTAAGGGTAAAATTGTGAGTTTATCTATATTTCTTACTTAAAATAGAAAGTGGGAAAACATTTTGGGATGGCCAAAATAGGAAATTTTGCAAAACAAATTGGGACGGAGGGACTATTAGATTCAACCCCAAATATACAATGACGTGGGATACTTGATAACTTGTTGCATATCTTAGAAGAATGTTCATTGCATTTGACATAACTTTAGTGATCAATTACTGTAATTGTTCTATTATTGGAACTCTCTGATTGTCCATCTTTCACAAAAGGGGAATTCATGAATGTACGTACAAACGGATGATATAAATACAATTTGCTGGGTCCATATGTTGACTGAGGTTTTCTTATGCACAGATTGAAGCCACAGTCATGCCTGAGGAATATCGATATGAAGTAAGTCTTTGTGTTTCCATATCACCATATGTGGTTACTGTTTTCGTCTGAGTTTCCTTAAAGTGTAGAACCAGTTTGAAACATGGAAAATGGAGTAAAATGGAAGAAAAGAAAGTTTGTGAAAAAAAAAGATAATCAAGCCCAAACTCAATTTATTTGATTTAGATACTTGTTCAAACTCATTTTAATTTATATTATTGGTGTATATCTGATGGATAGCAAAATTGGCTATGTTATTTCCTGCATATATTCTCAGACTCTAATATTAATGGCATAAAATTATACATGTAGGATTAATTCGTCTGTCACTGAAGTAAAACCAAAAGCACAGACTGTATCAGCATTAATACAATGAGAAAAATCGAAGGAAAAGCCGCCTTCTTTATTCTTTTTCATTTGACTTCACTTAAAGAAATGTTTTTGCTTCAACTTTCTTGTTCTTTTGACTGGTATACCATATACATGTAAATTTCAAACATTAGCTGATCAATTTTAATGTCACAGGTTCGGATACTTTGCAACGACTGCAATAACACCAGTATAGCAAACTTTCATGTTATTGGCCACAAGTGTCGGCATTGCAATTCATACAACACCCGCAAGCTAGCAGCAGGGCAAAATGGTCAATGACCACCTCCTTATTCGGTTGCTCGTAGAAATTGGGTGTGGATGCCTCTTTGCTCTTATAGTAAAAAAATAGTTTCTTCTTGCATATCAGTCTCCTAACCTCTCTATATGAGATGTATTGCACCACAAGCCAATTATGCATAATCGAGCAACTTTTATGCATCACCACATTACTATAGAGAAACTCCACATCATTATATGTGCCAAAGATTCTGCTTATTCAATCAATAGTCGAAAGATTCTGTTAATTATTGTGTAATAAAAGAAAGATAACCCAAAGAAATATGGTTGTGATCGAAATTTCTCCAGAGACGCCCATAACTTGGTCAAATTTGTACTCCATGAAAAGGTGGGGAGATGATGAGTGAGTGAACTTTCTTCACATGTCAGGACAATTGAAAGCCCGTTACTTCTTTCTTGACAGGAAAGGTGTGAAGGGACCACCCTGTCGTATTCATTAAGCACAATACAAGCTGGAACCGGTGGCCAAGAGGGTCGGTAGAGAAATTCAATTAGGATTTCCCTTTTGTTTGTTGTTCCAAAAGTTGAATCCCTAACTCAAGAGCGATGAAGTCTCGGGCCCAACAGATCATTGTAAACCATGATAACTTAGTTGAACACACCTCCCCTGATTTTGAGTAGGGGTGGGATTTTGGAACCGGGAACCGTAGAACCGATTGGAACCGAACCGTTAACAACATCTAGGAACCGAACCGTTAACAATTAATGCCTCATTTGTAGGAACCGAACCGAAGCGAGTTATAACGGTTCGGTTCCCGGTTCCTATAAAAAATATGTGCATAGAACCGTTAAGGAACCGTTATTAAAAAAAATAAAATATAAAATAATATTAGTAGTAGTAGTAGTAGTAACAATAATGATGATGATGATGATGATAGCAATAATAACCACCACAACAACAACAACAATAAAACAATATAAGATATTTAACTAACAATTCTAATTTAATCAACGGAAAAGAAGTAATAAATATTGTACATGAGGTTGATATAATACATTAAACTCCTTTCTACAAATCAAGTTTTGTTCCATCACATAAATTTTATAAATATAAAATAACTCAAATAACTTGTAGTTGATTGCACATATTTTACTTTACTATTTTCATGATATTTCTAATTATTAGATTTATTATGAATCAATAGAATGTAATAATGTTTTTTACATCTATACATGCAAACTCAATGTCTTTTTTTTATGTTTTGAAAGACTTGAAGTAGGCGTCCTATTCTTGCTACTATGATGACGAGTAACCTTCATCGCTCCGACACCACAACGATTTCTAATGTTTCATTTATTACATGAAAATTTAAATCACTTTTGTTCTATTAAGTGTTCAAAGTTCATTAGTTAAGTTTGAGATTTGATGTTTGAAGTGATTAGAGCTTCAAATAAAATTTTAATACTCATGTTTTGATTTTCGACGTGTTTATGTTGTTTGTAGAAAGTAAATTATGCGTTAATTCTTAGACGAGAAAAAATTATTCTAGGAACCGGTAAAAGGAAGAACCGAACCGTTTACTACCGGTTCGGTTCCATAACGGTTCTTGATTTTTTATATAGGAACCGAACCGATTTTAATAGTTAAAACTTTTATAACGGTTCCACTCATTTTGAGTAAGAACCGAACCGGTCCCAGCCCTAATTTTGAGTTACTTATTCCAAATTCCACCCCTGTAAATTTGTGACCAACTGAGCTTTCCATGGTAGAATTTTCGTATAGTTATTGTAATAATGGTGGTGTTTTACGATGAGACTTGACTAACCCTTGAAAAGATAACCTCATACCCTTCAATCAAGTCATTTTGCGAGATTCTTTCCTTATATGGTCACAATAGCATGGAATTGATAAAAAAAAAAAGAATAAATATGAAAAAGAGGCATGTACTTGACAAAATTTCAATGCTGTTTGGGATCACTAATAAATCTTTATTAGCTTAAAATTTAGATTAAGGAAATGAACTTGTTTAGTTGACACTTACTTGGAAATATTGAAACAAAACATCAATTCCTAATCCTTTCTCTAGACATAAATGAGGAAGTCATTAGGCGAGAACTGAAAGAGCAAATGGGATTTTAATTGGATAGGGACAGCATATATTATGGGAAATGCATGAAGTTGGTGTTTTTGTTGTTGAGAAAAGTACTTTAACCCTAAAATCAAGAGAAAATGACTTGCTGCTGAGTAGGGTCATTTTATCTTATAACTGACCTACAGTTTTTTTTTTTTAGTTTTTTATGAAAATATAACTAAAATAAAACCTATTTACACAAATATACTAATAGTTATTACACTATAGTGTTATGTTCACATTAGTCTAAAAGTTGAACACCAATTACTATGGTTAAGTTGCTACTATGGTCACTAATCACATTTTGTGAACAATCTCTATTTTAGTCATAAATATAAATATGTAATAATTATTTCTTTTTATGTATACTACGGAGTATTTATTTATTTTTTTAAATTGTAAATTGCTCTTATCGCTTTCAAAATTCTGAATATTTATTGATTAAGGATTTTCTACAAATGCACTATTTTCGTTATAATAATAAAACGCTCGAAATGGAAGAACATACAACGAGGTATGATCATATCAAATAGGCAAATAGCTAACTGCAATCCTCTCCGTTAGAAAATCAAATACGCTACAGTCAATTTAGTTTTTTTGCAATCAAGCATCATTAGTATATTGACTTAGCAAAGTTTTTTACTTAAACCCTTCTTTTTATTATTACGATCCATTTTTTGACAATGCCTTTTTACCGAATAAATGTGATATAACAAGTCAACCATTCCAATGTAAAAAATAAATAAATTTGGAGTTTAATATTTTGTATTGTTCCTTGAGATTTTTTTAAAAGAATAACTGAAAGATGTAAAAAAATGTGTTAACCATGAGATATTAATTTTAACACTTCGATCTATTTACGAAAAAATTTAATCGTAAAAAGTTTTATCAGATGAAACTTCATATTTTTTAAAAACATTATATATGCAATTTAGTGTCATATGAAAGATTATAAAAATTGTTAATTTCATATATTTTTATAAAAATTTGATTACAAATAAAAAATATACTATTTTAAAGAAAATTGGAATCATAAAAAGTTATACTGTTTTTCTTACTTGTGGCGTGCTCGTCCCCTCTCACTTCCGTCAATCCATGCTTCTAAGACCATTTGTAGCGGTTAGGTATTCGGAGTCCAAAATGTTAAAAATGGAACTTTTGGACTCTAATTTCTTACACTGATCACTAGTTGTAGGTATTAAAATGGAAGGGGGGGGGAGTGAGTCTCAAATATAGAAGATGGATTGACAGCCAAAAAAGGAAAAAGGGAGAGAGAGGGTGCGCAGTGGCCGTTGGACCGTGCTGTTCTTTTAAATGAACTTGACTTCATCTTATACAAAAAAAATCTTTTCCATTTAAAGTCAGGTAATTTTTTTATTTATATTCCAAATTTTACAAAAAACATATCAAAATTTATAAAATGTAATGATGCTTCATTTGACACCAATATTGCACATATAATTTTAAAAAAAAAAATCTAAAATTTTAATACTGGAGTTCTTAGGCCAAAAAAACACGAAACACAAATTTTTAATTCATGGAGCCTTCACAAATAATTGAATATTCCATAATTGAACTTTACGTGAACTAAGTTCATTTTTTGTTAATAAATAAACGTTAAAAAAATGAATGAAATTTATTTATTTTTACATCAAAATGTGTATTGTTTATTTCATAATTATTCTAGGGAAAAAATTAAAAGGAAAATATTACTTATAATTTTTTAATTAATGGTTTACTAAACTGATATGTAAAAAGATATGCAGAGTGTATTTTATTGACGGTGCTGGAATGCAGGAAAATAGGAGTCTAAACACTTTTTTCATATGGGCAGAGTCCGTTTTTAACATTCTGGCCTCTCCACCACTACAAATGGTCTAATTCCTCACCCTAGGGTTTCCCCAATTCACTATAACATCCTGTTATACAATTTTTTACTTGGGTTACACCTTCTTTGAAATGAGAATTTCAAATTTGAGATGTTCACCCCTCTCATTACGGGATAGCCTAAACATAAAATTATACTACCTTCGGTCTGTTTTAATTGCAACATTGGGTTTTTTTTTACAATAGTCACATATTCTGCTTTGACTATATTTTATTTATTAATGTATTATAGATTAAAATTTTAAAAAATATTTTTAAATTTTCAAAATCTGAATCTTTAAATTTTTTCACTAATAAAAAAAGAAGGGTTTTTATTTGAATATTACTAATTTTGAACCAATTACCAAAAAAGTGACCACTTTTAAAAAGGGGCAAAAAAGTAATCAAGAAGGTCATATTAATGTCATTCCCAGATTTTAATGTCACTATCCTGTTTTAATGTCACTATCAAATGTCATTGTTGCCACCCGCCCGTGTCACTGCGGCCACCGTCTGTGTCACTGCGGCCACCGCCTGTGTCACTGCGACCACCATAGTGGACCGGCCAAAGTGACACCGGTACAGCTGGTCAGTGACATAAGTTATAGCTTTCACCCAAATCTGCCAGCCACCAGCACCGCCACCACCGACACTACTACCCCACAGCCATTGTACACAGCCCTGCCCCTCCCTAGCCCCACGCCCCAACACCCCAACCCCACACCCCTCCCCTGTCCACAATCCAGCTACGACCAACCCCGATTTAGCCCAGATCGGACCCCAATCGCGCAAATCTAGTGCTGATCAGCCCCGATCTAGCCCAGACCGGACCCCAACCGTCTAGATCTAGCCTCGACCAGCTCCGATCTAGCCTAGAACAGACCTCAACATCCCCGATCTAGCTCCGTCCCTAGCTTTAGGACACCTGAACGGTGGTGGAGCTGCACGACGAAACCGCCTCTTCCTTGAAGGCACAATTGCCACCCTAACCTTTTTGCACCGCCACCAATAATCTGGATTCCGGTGCGAAGAAAAGGGTGACAGCGGAGACCGAACAGAAGAAAGGAGAAAAGATCAAATGATTGCATCCGACGGCGGCGATGGAGTCCGGATCCGGCGGCGAAGACCGGACCAGGCGGCGGAGACCAGAGCGACAGAGGCGAGGTGTCAACGACCTGTGCGTGAGCTCTGGTTCAGATTTGAGACGGAAGGGACCGGAAGGCCTTCATGGGGTTCGTGGCGCGTAGCAGCAAAATTGAAGAAGCGGATATAAAGCCGACGTTTTTTTTAGGAGGAGAAGCTCACTTTTTTTGTCAGAACAAAATCCACTCATATTTTTGCCTACTAAAAGTTGGGAGCTAATAATTGTGCCATTATTTCAAAAATGAAAGACGTTAATGATCAAAATTTTATGTTGACAAACGTGAAAAGTGGACGGTTGCGATTAAAAAAGAACGGAAAAAGTATTACGTAGTAAAAAGGAAAAAAACAGTGCTTAGTCATTTGTAGGGTAACGCTTGTCCCTGATGAGATCCATGTCACAGTTAAGAAACAAAATAAAATGAGTATGTAAAGTTGAAGCTTTAAAAGTCACTTTTTGCCCCTACCATGTGATATTGGAGAACTGGAGAAGTGTAAGATTTGGATCACCCCACACCTACTTTCTTGTCTCATCTACTTGGGGAGTTACTTTCACCTTTGATATTATCATTATTAGGTGGATTGTGCATTAAACCACCAAGAATCTTTTCAATAATTGATTATGGCTCTGTTTGCAATCACTTGTGCTAAAATAAAAGCACTTTTTTGGAAAAAGTGATTAGTAATAAAAGTTGGTAGTGTTTGGTAAAATAAGTGCTTTTTGTGTAATAGAAAAAGTAAAAAGTAGATTCTACACGAAAACCGAGAAAGTAAAAGTTGATAGTGTTTGGTAAAATAAGTGTTTTTTTCTTAAAAAAAAGTCAAAATCACTTTTTTTAATTGATTGCAAACAAGCCCTATATTGTTTGATAGTCTCTGTTTAGTTTCACAACTCCCTACTCGTGTTGCACTGGACCTATCAATGACAACATAGTAAAACTGTATAAGTTATGAGTACAATTTAGTCCAAAGAAAATAGTAGCTCCTTTCTTAAATAAATGCAACATATGAAATTTTATACTATTCACATGGTCTACTTTGACCATGTTTTATTTATTAATGTATGAATATATTTTTATTAAAAAATATTGTTAAATTTCTCTCATTGTAAATTTTCAATATCTATTTTTTTTAATTTTTTTACTAATATAAATTTATATATATTAATGGTCAAAGTTATGTCTCAGCAAATGTAAAATGTTGACTGTTGCATTTATTTAAGAACGAAGGAAGTATATTTTTTTAAGAAAATATATTTTTCTATATAGCATTCACAACATATTTTCAACATCCATTCGCTTCTAGACGGCCAACCAGTCAACCCTACACGGCCTGTTGAACCCTCTCACAAGTCACAACTCACAACTCTAATCTTGTTTCATATTTCGGTTGTGAAATTATTATAGTCTAAGAGCCCATTCGGTAATATCAAAATCATCTAAATCAGTTGATTCTGCTGAAATTTATGAAGTTCTAGCTGAAGTTGATGCATTGACTGATTCTATTGATTCATGAAAAAAATAAATTTAAAATATAATTTATTAATAAAATAAATAAAAAATTATATGAAAATAGCTAAAATGATCTTCTACAGTAACTTCAGCCAATACAGCCATACGCATAACCTTGCTTTTTCTTATTACTACACAATTTAGCGCGCGAAATCAAAAGTTATAAATGGAGATTTCGGTCTCCCGAGCTCTTATATTGGAGAATATATGAAGAGTTTACAAAGTGGGTGACCATCAGTCCATCACCCCTCCTTCCTTTGCCCTCATGTGTATTACATTTTATTGTTTAAATCCTTGTACTCCGTAATTTTTTGTTTATGGTTCAATTTTTTATAAAAACACACCAAATTTTATATGCAACATTGGTATTATATGAAATTGTAAAAAATGGATCATAAATTTGAAAAAGTTAAAATAATTGTAAAATACGGGGTACTAAAGAGTTGATCTGCCACATGACTATATACTAGGGTGAGGGTGAACAAAACCGATTTCTGCTTTTTTGGTAAGGCAATAGATTCCCAAAATGAAGATAGGAGGAGGGGGGGATAGAGTGTTAGTCTTGGTTACTAGTAAAACAAATCTTTTTGAAAATTATTACTACTATAACTTTTTTTATCTGTCCTTCAATTTTTACAAAAAAATCAAAATTCACAACTTTTTATAATTTTTCGTATGACATCAGTATTGCATATACTTCCTCTATCCCGAAAAGATTTGCCAAATTTCCTTTTTTGGATATTCCAAAAAGATTTGTCATTTCCATTTAAAGTAAGGAATATGTGGTTAAAGTTAATTCTCTTTCCTCTGCACAAATTTCAAGCACACAATTTTTACTTTATTAATTCACGTGAATGTCAAAATTGGCGAACCAAAACTTTTGGGACGGAGGGAGTACAAAATTAAAAAAAAATCTAAAGTTCCAACACCTGGAGTTTTAAGGCCAAAAAATCTAATTTTGACACTTGAGATTAAATTTTTGTTATTTTCTACTGTTCAACTACAATACAAGATACCGTTTTGATATTTATCTCTGAAACTTTTCCATATTTATTCGACATTCATAAAAAAAGAATGTTCTTAAATTATTATGATGCTGAAATTTTTAGTCTTTTACATATTAAGATAAAATCATACGTAGTTATGATAATTAAAAATATGAATGTCACAATTATGAACTAAATGTAATAAATTTGAAATGAAGGACTAAAAGCGTATTTGACATTTGAAAAATAATAAATAGAAAAAAACAAACAAAATCATTTACGAAAAGTGCTGCAAAAAAGGTTCCAAAAACTCTCTACCTGGAAGGAAGGACGTGCTTATTCTGGCAACGTAGATAAATTAGCAATTCTCCAATTTATTTCCCCAACCTTTCTTGTCTTGTCTCCATCTCCACTCACTCTAGGTGAGCCCAGCTAGCTTTTCCAGAGCGCATCACCAATTCATGATCACATAATCTCCATGATCACTACTTTCTCTTCTCAAGAAATTCATTTATTATTGTAAGTTTGAATCGTAGAAACACAAAAAGCTCCAGAAATGGCTGGCGTGAACGAAGGGCAGGAAGGGAAACTCAGCCGTCGCTGCGATTTCTGCTGCTCAGCCATGGCGGTGCTGTACTGCAGACCCGATTCGGCCAACCTCTGCCTTGCCTGCGACCGGGAGGTCCACTCGACCAACCCGCTCTTCGCGAAACACACCCGGTCCTTGCTCTGCGACGCGTGCGATTCCTCCCCGGCCACCATCTTCTGCTGCACCCACTCCTCCGTCTTCTGCCAGAACTGCGACTGGGAATCCCACTCCCTCAGCCTCTCCCCCGCTCACGTCCGCCGCCCCCTCGAGGGCTTCACCGGCTGTCCTTCCGTCACTGAACTGCTTGCTGTTTTCGGGTTCCAAGATGTTGGGAAAAAGGCCCTTCTCCACGATGGGGATGGCTATGGTTGTGTCGGCGATGACGGAAGTGGAGATGATGGGATTTTGGATTATCTTGTTTGGGACACTCCGGCCGTTGTCAATCTTGACGATTTGATAGTAGCTCCCAATAATTCTAACCCTAATTTTCAGGCCATGGGTGTTCCTCCTCTTCCCAAGGTCTGCTACTTCATAGTTTTTTCTTTGACTAACTTCATTTTAGAATATTAAGGAGAGATATATGAGAGTAGTACTTTTATGCTCTATTAATCCAATGATTTTCCTTCTTTGGTCAAGAGTCCCACTCTGAAATATTGAACTGGGGTGGAGATGAGATTATAAAGGGTTTAAGTTAGACTAGCCAATCAATTCGATTTGAGCTTTTAGTATAGTTTGATTGATCCCAACATAATTATAAGTATTATAGTCTTTTCTTCATAAATAAGTTATTAAGTTTTCGTGATACCTTGGTCATATTTGTAATGTTTCCTTCAGTCATAGGATATTGTGTTTTGCATATCCTACTCTTGAACATGAGAAACATTTGGTTAAGGATCATTTCAAGTTTTGGTCTAAAAGTTCAAAGTTTGTAATGACTAGCAATCTGTGAAGAAATGTTGATCTTCAAGTGATTGGGGAAATGGGGTGATGGGTGTATATACTGTTATTGAATGCAGAATAGGAATGCTGCTTGTGGACAACACAAAGAAGAAATACTTTCTCAGCTTCGCAAAATGTCTAATCTGGAACCTGATCTCTCTGCTGACCAAGAGGAACCTGAGCCTGGTGGAGGCTGTCAGAGTATGGAAAATGAACTCAACCGTCTGTTTGGAGAGACTGATTCCAGATTTGAACAGAACATGGAGGCTCCATTAATGCCTTACTCAGAAGTAAAGGTTTCTTTAACACACCGAGTTTAACTAATTCAATTGATCTTTGTGTTTGTGTGTTTGTATCTTTGTTTCTTAATCATTGTAACACTATCCTCTACTTGCAGTCAAGTGGCTTTAATTGGTGTGATGACGTTGACGATTTCGCCCCATTACATGGATTCAATGAGAACAACTCGTCACTTCCCAATAAAGATTCAGGTGAAGCAAATAATCATAACGAAGGGGAATCAAACCATTCTAGCTATATTGAAACCTTTCCTAAATTTGTTCCTCGTGAGGTAAATATCCGGGATAGGGAAAGTGCAATTTCTCGGTACAAGGAAAAGAAGAAGACAAGGAAGTAAGCACATTGCTCTCTATATTTCTCTCTTTTTGTGTAGATAGTGATTATCTCATAGTAACTCTTATCATGCCAAAATATCTAGGGGTGGGAAAAACCGAACCGAAACCCGGAAACCGACCCTGGACCGACCCGGATTATAATCCCGGTCCGGGTTTTTTCTTTTTAACCGGCCCGAATTAAAAAAAAACCCGGACCGAGCCCGAAATTCCGGTCTCATTTACGGGCCTTAAAATCTATAACCCGACCCGGACCGATAAAAACCCGAAACAATTAGCTTCAATATAAAATTAATATAATATATGAATATGAATTTATAAATATTTCCTAATATATGACAATAATCACGGTAAATAAAAAAATCATTTAGTAACTTTTAGTGACTAGAAATATGTTCAATTTGTTTAGCGTAATGACCATGAAAATATATTTATAGCAACTTTAGTCACATTTTTATCTATAAATTTTATTTCGTAATATTTTTAAGAAACCTATATTATTTATTTATATGCATCTTAAATAAAATATTAAGATAATTATTCTCTTTGGATTTGAATTGTTGGTGATTTTGGAGACTAATATTTGTGTTAATTTTTTATTTATTTTTTATTAATTATATTTGAAAATAGGTGTTAAAATATAAAAGAACAATGAGATAGTTCACGTTCGGGCTTTAACCGGCCCAACCCGAACCCGGACCAAACCCGGGCTACCAAAAACCCGACTCGGACCGAATATAATGAGCTTTGTAACGGTCCCTATTTTTCATAACCCGAGACCTTCTAGGTAATTTTCGGGTTTAGCAAAAACCCGACCAAGACTGGACCGATCCCACCCCTAAAAATATCTATGGAATTCATTCAACATTTATAGTTGTCTGTAAAATGACCACATTACCCTTCAATAATAATAACCCAAAAATAAGAGAAGGGAAAAGTGGCAACAAAAATAACTAATCCCTCTTGAAAAATGAAAAAGAGACGTACTTTTTAACACAGAGGATATGCTTCCCATTTATGATTTTGACTTTTGCTGGGACTTGTGATCAATATGATGATAACAGATATGAGAAGCAGATAAGATATGAGTCTAGAAAAGCTCGGGCGGAGAGTAGGATAAGAATTAAAGGGCGTTTTGCCAAGATGGGATCTAGAGATACTGGTGGTACACAACAATGATTGATCTATTCAAAGACTCTTATCAGTCAAAGAATTTAACTGCAAGTAGAGCAAAGGAGCTTGGCTATATAGCTCACTGAGAATGTGAATGCAAGCTAGAAGTACTCCAGGTCATTAGAGCATGTATATATGTGTGACATAACCTGGTGCTAAAACCAGAAAATGAATGTGTATCAGTGTATGAAGCATTCATTTTATTTATGTAAAATTTTAGTGCTGGGGCCTGGGGGTTGTTGTGTGAATGCAAGCTATGCCGTTTATTGTAGCTTCCAGGTAGATTGCAACGAGTTTTGTTGTACAAAGCATGTCATTACTGTCGTTGGTGTTAAGCTTATGCTTGGTCTTTTGTTAAGAAGAGAATTTGTATGGTTAAGATTTATTTACAAAGTGAAGAGGTTTTCAACCGGTGGGCCGTGGAGTAACATCTAATGAAGTCAAGTTATTTTGAGCTTGTAAAGCAATTTTTTTGAAAAGTCATACTTCGTATATTATATCATGAAAGTGTGGCTAGACTCTAGAGTGAAATCAGTGAATGTGCAGAAAAGCCAAAAATGTTTAGTTGCCAAACTCCTCGCACTCCATGGTAATGTTTAAAGACGGAGTCTCACTTTTTCTTGTTTGGTGATTCTGTTTTTCGATTTATCGGACTTATCAACCAACTTTTTTTTTATCAAACATGTATTTTTTTTATTTAAAGCACTAAGTTGTGTAATAAGAAAAAATTAGTTGGAGTTACTTTTCTGATTGCTTTAACTGAAGTTACTGTAGAGGATCATTTTAATTATTTTTTCATATAATTTTTTCTTTATCTAATTAATAAAATATATTGTATATATAATTTCTTTTCATAAATCAAAATGATCAATTAATTCAGCTCTTTTAACTAGAACTACATAAATTTCAACAGAATCAGCCAACGTAGCCGATTTGGATATTATCAAATAGGTTTATAAACAACAATAAATAAAAAGAACGTGTGAGTAGTAGGGGTGGACCCGGGTTGGGCTGGTTCCGGTTGGGGCTTAGACCCGGCCGGGGCTTTTTTTGGGGAAAGGGGGAACCGGCCCGAGTAGGCGGCGGTTCTGGGTCGGACCGGGCCACCCGGCGGTTACCGGGTTGGGTCGGGCCGGTTCCGGGCTAAATTTTTATTTTTTTTAGTTGTCCAATGAATTCAGGAAATGATAGATATAAAAAAGTTCAAGTATATTAATTTGAAATAAGAAGTACAATTGAGAATTGAGAATTGAGAAAATTTTAATAAATGAAATAAATTTTTTAATAAATAATCAATCGGAATCTCCGCCTTCGGTTGTTTCCTCCATAAAGTGGTGGGTGGGGGCGATGCTTAATTCTTGAGTTCTACGTTGGGCCTTCAACCAATCGTGGAAGCAAACAAGTGTCTCAAGAGAGTTTGGGATCAATTTCGTTCTATAATCTGTTAGGACGTTGTCGGGCACACTAAATTCTTGTTCCACGGCAACTGTTGATATCAGCATTGTTAGCACTTGCTTAGCCATCTTTGATAAGACCGGGAACGTTCTTTCTTTTTCCTTCCACCACTTTAGAACGTCAAAGTCATCCTCTTCTTCATAATCAACAGGAAATGTTAGATACATAGAAAGCTCGTTATATGAGCTCTGTTCATTAACAGGAGTTGATTTACTTTTTTTCATAAGATTGCCAAATGCAAATTCAAAAAGTGATTTTTCTTTAGATGAAGATGTTCGTGTCGGGGGAGGGGGTGTATTACCATATTGTGCATAAAATTCATTATATAATTGATGAAATAAATTACTAACCTTGTTAAATTCTTGTTTAGGGTCGCTGGGATTATCGTCGAACTCTTGAGTTGGACCAAAAAAAGAAGCATAATAGTGATATATACAATTTGGTAATGAGCAAGTCTATAACGAGGATCAAGAATAAATGCAATACCATATATAAGCGGAATATGTGAGTAATATTTTAAAAACTTTTGTTTCATGAATTCACAAAAGTAACTAACGTAAGCGGCATCAAAAAATTAACAAAAAGCGCCGGCGAGATTAATAGCTTCAACAAAAATTGGTTTGCGGTAGGTTTATAAACATGACTAAAAGTTTGAGTTGCATTATTAAAATATACCAAAACATTCACAATTTTTTCGCAAGTGTCGATGTCAGCCGGGTTTATACTATAGTTACAAGTTTGTCTTAAAAAAGCAGGAAAATGGTCTTTATATCTAACAAGTACTTTAATCAAGTTATAAGTACTATTCCAACGAATAGACAAATCTTTAGGAAAAGCACAATAATTGATACGTCTATCCTTCAAATATTGCCGCATTGCATTTTAAGTGGAGTACTAGCCCAAATCAATTTAATTTCTCCTTCACTATCTCCAAAGCTTGTCCTAACGTGGCTAGCACGTCTTGTACACACAAATTGAGAATATGACATGCACAACGTTGATGAAAAAACCTACCCATCAATGTAGAAGCACCACACAATTCACGCAATCTAGGTTTAGCAGCAGTATTATTACTAGCATTATTATCAAAACCCACAGCAAACACCTTATCAATCAAATTATACTCAATTAAAATACGCTCAATGAGAAGATAAATATTATCAACAATGTGTCGATCATTAAATTCACGAAAAGCAAGAACACGATTATGCATTTCCCAAATAGTGTCCAAACAGTGTCAAACAGGGCCAAATAGTGTCCAAACAGTGTCAAACACTGCAAAACAGTGCACTCCACAATAAAGTCAAATTTATTTTCTTAATATGTGTGAAGTCAAACCAAGAACTTAATTGGGGGACGGAGGGAGTATTTGTCTTCATAAGTCATAACCGAACGAAAACATGTGGGAGCAACTTGGGCAACTCATCGAACCGGACTTATAAGTGGAATTCACAACCGACCCAGCATAGGTACCATTGTGGTTCCTCCAACATAAGACCGAACTCATTCCAATTCCATTTATTTGAATTCACTCAATACTACCTCCGTCCCAAATTGAGTTGCAAATTTGACTTTTCTTAGTCAAACAGTCTTGTTTTGTTCACTTAATTAGGATGCCGATTTTTAATTATATTCTAATTTGGAGTTTACGACTTTGAAATGATTTTAATGTAGTTTTTGAATATGTAAATTTAATTATTAAAAATTGAATTAGTTATTCATAGGGAGGGTTGACTTTTATTATTGGTTGACCAAAAAATGTTGACTTTGCAAAACAAATTGGGACGGAGGGAGTAAGTATAAAACAGGACAAGCGGCATTGCAATGGCAAGAACGGGAACCACAACTTATGCAGAAATTCTGGTACCAATCCGGGGATCTTGTAGTAGGTCCAGAAGGTCAGGGACTAGAAACCGGTCAATTCGGAATTGAACAGAAACCAGCTGATAAGGGAGAGAAACACGTCATGTATTTTGGGGCAGTTTCAATTTATAAGCATCCTTTCCCAGAGCAGCTAGAACCTTAAAAGGACCAAAGTATTTTGGGGCCAGTTTGTTATTACTCCTGTGATGGACAGTTTGTTGTCGGTAATTCTGAAATTTGAGCCATACCCAGTCTCCTACTACAAAAACCCTTTCAGATCTGCTGCCTGCACCTTCATCCTTGATTGAGCTTGTAAGAGTGTGACTTTTAATAATTTGATGATTTCCTCTCGTTTTTGCATGCTCCTATCGACCACCATATTGGAAGACTCTCCAGGCAAATAAGGAAGATGTAATGGGGTGGTTGATTATATACAATCTCATATGGTGTTTTTTGAATAGCGGTATGAAAATGAGTATTGTACCATCACTCCGCCATAGGTAAGTATTTGCACCATTCTTTAGGGATTTCACTGGTCATAAACCTCAAGTACGTCTCCAAGAACCTGTTGACCACCTCAGTTTGACCATCTATTTCCGGATGGTAAGCTAAAGATAACAGGAATTCAGTGCCACGTAGTGAAAAAAGACCCTTCCAAAACTGACTGAGGAAGATGGAATCTCTGTCACTTACTATACTTCGTGGCTATCCATGTAGTTTAAACACATTATCAAGATAGCATTAAGCTACTTCTACTGCAGTAAAAGGATGAGATAGTGCCATAAAATGACCATATTTGCTCAGTCTATCAACAACTACCAATATCACAGTGTTCCCCATTGACTTAGGTAAGCCAGTGATGAAGTCCATAGATACATCAACCCATACAGCTTCTGGAATTGGAAGAGGTTGTAATTTCCCAGGTTTTGCAGTCGTATCATACTTTGAAGCTTGACAAACTTTGCATTTCCTCACAAATAAAATAACATCCCTAGTGAGACCCTTCCAGTAGAATAGTTGTTGCACTCGTTTGAGGGTTAGTTCTCTACCAGAATGTCCAGCTTCTAGTGAAGCATGATGCCGTTGAAAAAAAATTCCCGTAAGGTTGTCATGAGGACCAATCACCACCTTGCCATGCCTCTTTAGTATCTCATCCTGATAGGAAAAATTTGGAACAACCTCCTGATGTTGTAGTTTATGTATGATAGTCATAGTGTTGTCATCTAGTGAATAACTATTAGTAATGCAGTCTCTTAAGTTAGAGTCTACTACTGAGATGGCCATATGCATAATTTCAGCCCTTGAGACCCTTTAAAGTGCATCTGCCACAATATTTTCTCTCCCAACTTTATACTGGATCTCATAATCAAATCCCATAAGTTTTGAGAGCCAGAATTGCTGAAAAGGGGTTGAAATCTTCTGTTCAAGTAGCCATTTCAAACTTTTCTGATCTGTCTTGACAATGAAGTGTGCACCCATCAGATATTGTTCCCACTTTTGAATAGCAAAGACCATGGCTATGAGCTCTTTTTCATAAACTGACAGTTTTTGTAACTTTGGGCCCAAAGATCTACTGATGAAGGCTATAGGATGGCCTTCTTGTATTAACACTGCTCCAATGCCCAATTTAAAAGCATCTGTCTCAACTACATAGGTTTTGGTAAAATTTGGTAAAGCTAGAACTGGTGCTGAGACTAGAGCTGTTTTGAGATTCTCAAAAGCCAGTTGAGCTTCATCAGACCATGCAAAGGCTCCTTTCTTCAAAAGGTCATTCAATGGTCTGCTAATAAGGGCGTATCCCTTAACAAATCGCCTATAATAGCCCGATAAGCCCAAGAAGCTTCGCAAATCCTTAACTGAAGACGGTGTAGGCAAAAAATGTGTTGATCAAAGCTAAGAAGGTCATTTTATCTATAATCGTGGATGGGTTTTGCAGCTTATGAGGAAGTGTATCGGAAAAGACCTAGTGCGTCCAGGCCCCACGAGGTTTGCCACTGCATTCTTGACTTTAGATTGCATGGGCACCATAAAAGAATCCCTGCAAAGAATGTTTGTTTCTAAACAATGGACTTCAAGTCGTTATGCAAATTTAGTTGAGGGGAAGGAGGTTAAAAAAATTGTGATGGATGAAAGAACTTTTTGGCCTGGGGTTGCTTACTCAATAAAAACATCAAGGCCATTAGTTGAAGTGTTGAGGATTGTTGATGGTTATGAGCCTGCAATGGGATCCATCTCCGGTGCTATGGATTCGGCAAAAGAAAAAAATGCAGAGAATTTTGGAAATCAATATTCCACTTACAGTGAGATTTGGAAGATAATTGATGAGAAGTGGGAGCACCAACTGCATCGGGACTTGCATGCTGCAACGTATTATTTGAATCCCATATTCAAATGGGAGGATGACTTCTCTACTCATGTGGAGGTTAAGAAAGGTTTGTACGCTTGTATGGAGAGGCTTATTTCTGATACTAGTGATTTTAACAAAGCTGATGCACAAATGGATGAATATCGATACAAGCGTGGACTTTTCGGAATGAGGGCGGCTCAAAATTCATTTAAAACACGCCCCCCAGGTAAACATTAAACTACATCTTTAATATATTTAATGTTTATACATAGTGTACTTGTGTATTTAAATTTTAAGATCTAAATTCAAACTGAAAGCTGCAGTTTTTTTTAGGAAAAATTGATAGTAATAATCCCAACTATTGGCGGTCCACTCATAATAATCCCAACTATTGATTATTACAGAATAATCCCAACTTTAGGGACCTTCCGCCAATAATGGTCCCTATGAATAAATTCTTGTAGTTTCTAAAGTGGATGAGATGAGATATAACAAGTAATTCCTATAAATAATCTCAACTTTTAATTTTTACGCTTAATTTCTATTTAAAATTCACTTTTTATAGAGGTAATATATGGTCATGGACCATTATTGGCGGATAGCCTATATAGTTGGGATTATACAAAAATAATCAATAGTTGGGATTATTTTCAGCGGACCGGCAATAGTTGGGATTATTATTTTCAATTTTTCCTTTTTTTTTTATTTTACTTAAAGTCTTAAACTGGAAACTGCACTTAGTAACTAAACTAACTACTAAAAATGTTTTTTTCCTACTACAGATTTACACTATTAGTGCATTACCTCTTGAAAACTGAAAACTGCCGTTTGCAGTATTACCCAAACTGAAAACTGCAGTTTGCATAATGCATTAAAACCCATCTTCCCTACCTACTTTTTTTTAAAAGCAACAGCCTTGCTTATCTACTGAAATACTCCGTAGTATTGTTGTAAAACTGCATTTTTTAATTATTTAACATTTTTTTAGTGGAATGGTGGGATCAATTTGGAGATCATATTCCAGAACTGTGGGCTTTTGCGGTCAAAATTTTTGGCTTGACGTGTTCTTCTTCAGCTTGTGAACGAAATTGGAGCACATTCAATCAGGTCCACACGAAGAGAAGGAATCGTCTTTCAGCCATTAAGTTGAATAGTTTGGTATTTATAATGTTCAACAAGAAGTTGAAGTTTAGGAAGAGCCGGTCACAAAAGAAAGACGATAATTTGATCTTCGAAAATGTATCATCTGATGATGAGTGGATTGCTGAACCGAATGCAGATGATGGAGAAAGTGCGGATGCACGTGATGAACTTGCATTGGTTGTTGATGAAATGGACAACGAATTCAGAGGTTCATTATTTTTTTGTCACTTCAATATAATTATTTACACTTAACTTCCATCCCGTTTCATTTTATTTTTTGTGACTTTATGTGTGTAGGCGTGGACCTTACTGTTGGAACTGAAGAAGATAATGAGGCCCGTGATAATGAAGGAGATGACAATGAGAATGACATTACTAATTTGGATAGTGATGATGGGGACAATAGGCTTAGTTTTGAAGATTAAAATTTTTTCCTTAAATTTTGATGTTTTATGTTATTTTGAGTTTTGACTTTGGTATTTCAGTTTTATGTTATTTTGACTTGAATATTTTATAATTATGTTCGTTTTACTTGTGATTTTGTTTAGCTACATTATTGTTATGAATTATCTATACTTTCTACTATGTCATAGGTTTGTAGCAACACAATTTCGGGGCTTACGCCTCGGAAGGCTACCCCTTAACGCCTCGAGGCCCGATTTCGCATTTCAAAACCTTGGGTACAGGGTTCATTGAAAACAGAAGCATATTTGGATCTGAGTGTCTGCCATTCTTGTGATGTGTTATGAGTGTGTTGTGGCCCTTGTATCTGGAAAAAAGATGCACTAGCCCCTTCTTCCACTAACTGCAGCAAGTATACTTGATCTGCAACAAGTATACTTGATCTGCCTGCTTCAACATCTTTGTGGAAGGCAAATCCTCAACTATTTGTACTTTCTTTTGTGGTATTCCCTTAAAAAGAACCTGTTGGCCATTCATAATGAAAGTCATTTGCAGCTTATTGAAATCCCAAGTAATCTCACCCAAAGTCCTCAACCATTGGACCCCAAGAACCATGTCACATCCCCCAAGTGGTATTATCATAACATCAGCCATAAATTCAGTACCATTTAGGCTCCAAGTAAAGTTTCTGCAAATAAAATTGCAAAGTAGTTGATTACCATTGGCTACTGTAATGGCTTGAGCTGAGATAGTTTCAGTTTTGATTCCCAGTTTTTTAACCAGCTCAAGGTCAACAAAATTGTGTGTACTCCCCGAGTCCACCAAAATATGTAAGGGTTTACCTTGTGCCCTTGCTTTTAGCCTCATGGTGTGATAGTTTTGACACCCAACTAGTGCACTAAGAGAGATCCTGGGATCCAAAGTAATGTCTTCATCTTCCTGTAACTCTTCCATATCCCTCAGTGCCACATCCTCTTCAGTTTGGCCTGGGATTTCAACTGTAAAAAGTTGAGGTTCTTTAAACTGACATTTGTGATTCCTATCATAGGGTTCATCACAGTAATAGCAAAGTCCCTTAGTCATTTTTTAAGCCCTGATCTCAGCTGGAATATATTTAGTGGGTTTTTGGTTTTTGTGGTTGGGTTTGAGGAATGTAAGAGGTTTAATGTTTGGTGTTGGAAGTAAAGGGGGGTTTGTTATTTGGGAGTAGTGGAATGGAGTTAAGGGGCTTAGGTGAAATATAAAGTGTTCTGTTAGGTTTGGTAATAATGGCTGCCAAGGACTCCTCCTGTAGTCTAGCATACCCTACTGCTTCGGTTATGGTTGTTGGTTTGAAAGCTTTCACAAAAGGTCTGATTGCATGTTTTAATCCGCCCACAAAGCTGTCCAACAGATATTTATCAGGCAATATATAACTGTATTGATGCATGATGGACTTCAAATATTCAAACTCATCTATATATTCCTCTGTGTGTTGCAGTTTATTAAACTCCTCCACAATGTTCATACCAGATTCATCCTTAAATCTAGCATTCACATCTATCACAAAATCATTCCAATCCACACCCGGTCGGCCAGTCGGTTACCCAAATAACTACTCACCCATATTTCAGCTTTATCAACCATGTTTAGTGAAGCTATGTCTACTTTTTGTTAATCCTGGACTCGGGCCGGATGGCCCGACCCGGAACCGGTACTGTGCTGAACCAGCCCGGGGGGTTCCCGGTGCGGGCTCGGGTCACCCAAAAGCCGAACCGGCAGGTTCCGGGCTTTTTAATTTTTTTTCAATTTTTTTTAACTTTTCGGGTTGGGCTGGGTATTTTGGGCCATTTGGGGTGGTTTGGGGGGTGAGGTGGGGGGGGGGGGTTAATTAGGAAAAGGAAAAAAAATGACCCGAGGCCCGGCCTGACCCGGCCCAGACCCGGACCCGGTGGCTACTCGGGCCGGTCCTAGGCCCACCTATTCAGAACCGGCGGCCCGCCCCGGACCCGACCCGGACCCGACCCGGCCCGAGTCCAGGACTGCTTTTTGCTCTACAGGGATTTTACACAACAAGAAATCCCTGTAACACTTCTTAATCCAGTTGCGAGGATTACTACCGTTGAATTTTGGAAATTCAATTTTAGGTGCATACCCCAGGGACTTGTTTGGCAGGGGGTCTGTCCTCAATCCCGGGCGATCTGGGCTCTTTATATGTCAAGGTTTGCATCAGTTTGAGAATCTCTTCAAATTTCTAATCGGATCGTTGGTTCTGTTGCTCAACCCTCTGTTCAACTGTTCTGATGCTTTGAGTTGGGCTTCCATGGCTATAGTGCGGCGAGTTACTGCCAGCGCCAGTACTGATCAAAGTAATCGTGGACACTAGAGACTTTCCAGCAACAGAATGTTCCGAAAGATAAAAGAGAGAGATGAGAGATAGAATTTGTTGTTTTCATTTCATAACCGACTCAAGACACACAAAAGTCTAGATATATATATATATATAGAGAGAGAGAGAGAGAAAACTTCATGTCAGGCCGGCCTGACGGGCTACCCCGTCCGGCCGAGCCCGTTTGGGCACCTTCCCGGTGGAATTTTTTGATGAAATTTTTTGAGCATGTTCCTCATCAAGTCTAGTTTGTCCATACCAAATTTCAGCTTAAAATTCGATCGGGAAGGTCGTCAAATGATTTTTGCAAGTTAACTGGTCCGGAATATGTATTTTCCGGACCAGTTAACTTGCAAAAATCATTTGATGACCTTCCCGATCGAATTTTGAGCTGAAATTTGGTATGGACAAACTAGACTTGATGAGGAACATGCTCAAAAAATTTCATCAAAAAATTCCACCGGGAAGGTGCCCAAACGGGCTCGGCCGGACGGGGCAGCCCGTCAGGCCGGCCTGATGAGAAGAGCTCTCTCTCTCTCTCTCTCTCTCTCTCTCTCTCTCTCTATATATATATATATATATATATATATATATAAATGATCCTGTCCAGCACGTTTTTGTCCGACCACCGTCCGAACATGGCCATTTGGGGTCCTTCCTGGTGAAATTTTTTGATGAAATTTTTTGAGCATGTTCCTCATCAAGTCTAGTTTGTCCATACTAAATTTCAGCTCAAAACTCGACCGGGAAGGCATTCAAATCATTTTTTGAAGATGACTGCGTCAAAATGTATATATAAAAACGCAGTCAACTTCAAAAAATTATTTGAATGCCTTCCCGATCGAATTTTGAGCTGAAATTTGGTATGGACAAACTAGACTTGATGAGGAATATGCTCAAAACATTTCATCAAAAAATTCCACCGGGAAGGGTCCCAAACGGGGATGTTCGGACAGAGGGTTCTGTCCGAACATTCGGACCTGAACTTTTCTGTATGTATATATATATATATATATATATATATATATATATATATATATATATATATATATATATATATATATATATATATATATATATATATATATATATATATATATATAGAGAGAGAGAGAGAGAGAGAGAGAGAGAGAGAGAGTGCTCTTCTCATCAGGCCGGCCTGACGGGATGCTCCGTCCGGCCGAGCCCATTTGGGCACCTTCCCGGTGGAATTTTTTGATGAAATTTTTTGAGCATGTTCCCCATCAAGTCTAGTTTGTCCATACCAAATTTCAGCTCAAAATTCGATCGGGAAAGCATTCAAATCATTTTTTGAAGTTGACTGCGTCAAAATATACATATAAAACTGCAGTCAACTTCAAAAAATGATTTGAATGTCTTCCCGATCGAATTTTGAGCTGAAATTTGGTATGGACAAACTAGACTTGATGAGGAACATGCTCAAAACATTTGATCAAAAAATTCCACCGGGAAGGTGCCCAAACGGGCTCGGCCGGACGGAGCAGCCCGTCAGGCCGGCCTAACATGAACATTCCTCTCTCTCTCTCTCTCTATATATATATATATATGTATGTATATATGTATATATATATATATATATATATATATATGGGGATTGGTTCCTGTGAGAAAGAAGTCACGGGAGAGAAATAAGAATAAGATCTAACCATTATTAACTAAATCGGATGGCTATATTTAATCTTAAATCTCTCTTTTCCCCACATTTATTGTCGAAGGTGTGTGTGTAAAATTGGTAAGAGTGCAACATTATATTTAATGAAGGGTATAAAGGTAAAGGTCATCCTATGTGGTTGCCAAGATGTCACGTAAGAACCTCACCATATATGGAAAACTTCCTAAACATTATGATAATTAATAACTTCTCATAATTAACGTCATTCATTTTATTAAATGATTTCTTAATTTCCATTTTCAACTTGATATTCTATCTAACAAAATCGGACCACCCATTCTAATCATTATCTGATTTGTGCATTAGTTTTGATCCGTAAGAATACATTTTATCATTGCAATTACATTCACATTATAATACACATATGTTATTAAAAGGATGCACTTTTGAGAAAAAAAATAGAGTGATCATATACTAAATATGCAACATTGAATGTTATAGGTGCACTATATTTAAACACATTACAATTAACCCAACACTTTACATAGATGCACTTTTATTCCAACTTTGTGCAATATTAATTCCGAAAGATGGAGTATGGTACACTTTTTTATTATGCTTGTGTGATGAAACTAAATTCAATTCTCATGCACAATGAGAGTTTTGTGCATGTTTTAAATTTTTGTTGTTGCAAGTTTAATCTACTTTTGCATAATAAAAGGTAATAATGAAAGTAATTTAATTCATGAATATGTAAGAAGTGTAAGTCATGCATAATACATTGTATGTGTAAAAAAAATTATGTATATGTAATGTGCACTACATATAATTGGAAAATGCAAATATATAATGAGTAAAGTGCATTGGATCACAAGAAGCTGGTAAGAATATAGTTTAACAACGTGCCTAACATACAATGATGAGCCCGTTTGGTAGCACGAAAATCGGCTGTTTTGGCTTATTCTGCTGAAATTTATGAAATTCTGGCTGA